TTCGTTCAGGTGCACAAAATGGGGAACTAGGCATACTCACCTCCGCATTAGGCTCGGCATGGTAGGATAGAAAGATGATTCCAGATATTTAGGACATTTGAAAAATACAATACCCTGCTCCCTTTTTTACACGTGCTTATTGTTCTACCTTAGACAAGTTACACGTGCCAGAGAGATGGGAAGGTAAATCGTGGAGACTCCGCCTTGAGGTGACATTGGATGAACCGCGAGTGTGGTGGTTGGCCACATGGACGGGATGACAGGTCCCAAAGCGGGCGTGGGGAGGTGGCCGTCCGGCGTGGCATTCGGCGCCCATGCCGGCGGTATGCACAGGATTCGGTCCGTCCCTGACACCATGTGCGACGGCTGAGGTGGGCGGGCGGAGGTTTGACGGAGGTGATGGTGGTGAGTGAGTGAACGAACGAGCGAGTGATGTCCTGCAGATGCTGCTAGCAGCAACTCTCTTTTCCCTCAGGTTTTCCCCGCGCCGTGCCTTGCGTCAGGTCCAAAACGTCAAAGTGAAATGTGAACCCCGTGCCTGCAGCTTGTGAAGGAGCAATGCGGGGGGGATCTTGGCTTGCGCGTATTGGTGGGGATAACTGGTAAAGGCAGGAACAGGAACACTCGCGCGGCGTTAGGGACATGGCACGCCGCACGCTGCACCACGGGATCTTTGGGTCGTTAGTTGATGGTTCACCCCAAGCACCCGTGGACGCGGCGACGCGCGGGCACTGTCCACTTGACGTCGCCGAGTCATGTCGCCGGGCAGGTAATCTGTCTGTCCAGTACTTTTCTTTTATCTGGGCTGTAATTAATGAAAAGCATAAGCAAGTGATGGCGCGCCTTCTTATTACCCTTTTAGCTGCCGATACGCGCCGGCGAAAGCGAGGTATGAACATTAGTGAACAATAGCGCGCAGTAGGTACGAAAAATAGAAAGAGAAAGAAAGAGCAAAAGTAAAGTTTGCTGTTTGGTATCAAGATCAGCAACGGCATCACTTCTTCGGTCTTGGCAACGGCCCCCTTAAGCTTTCCAAGTTTCCATCTCATTTCTCGGCCATTGCTTAACTTTTTTCTTCTTCTCTCAACCACCCAAAGCAACCTCAACTCCGCTCTTTCTCCTGTTTCCCATCTCGGACCTCTGAACCCCTCTCCCCCCCTTCGCTTAAAGCCTTGACAACCACAACGAGCAGAAAGAAGAAGAAGAAGACCCCGGCGGTAGTTGTTGACTTGGCCTTTTCGGACCTTGGCAACACCGATACATCACTTTACCAGTCTCTAGGAAAGTCCCAAATACCCCGTTTGGTAGCGGCATCCCGGAGCGGTGAGTGATGGGATAACCCCGCTGATAGGGCCGATCGTGCCTACCTACCCCAGTTAATACGATCCCCCCTTTCACAGCCGCCTTCTTGAAGAAAAATCGAAAGAAGGAGGTGGGGGCGGGCGTCCGCTCAAGAACTTCTCCACGGGACCTTGCCCTGTTGACCTTCTCCCGTCCCCGGTCCCGGATTTGGGAAACTGCTAAGAAGGAGAGAGAGAGAGAGAGAGAGAGAGAGAGGCAGAGGGAAGGGAAACTCGTATTCTTTCTCTCTTTTCCCTTTAGTTCAAAAGTCAAGTTGGTTCCTGGTTCCTGGTAAGTTTTTTTTCTTAGGCGAGGAACTAGGACTCGGCTTCACTCTCCTTGAGACTTCCACCATCTATCTCTCTCTCTCCATAGTCCACCAACGATTATTCGATCATCATTATCCGAACCTTACCGCCATCGACTACCTGGCAGCGAGAGAGTCAGAGACCGAGGGTATCACTATCCTTTCGGATAGAAGACAGCCTGATTGGCTTATCCAACATCGCGCCCCGGCCCCTGAGGACCCCGAAAAAGAGCCAAACGTCGCTTGTTCCGCTGACTACGGCTTCGGGGGTAAGTCACCTTACTCAATCTCCGCTGTAGCTCATCTCTTATAATCTGTTAAGCTTTCGCAAGCCGGCCCAGCGCCCCGGTTTCCTTCGACGCACATCAGCAGCATCCCAACGGGCGGCTGAACCGCAAGTCTCGCCTACGCTATCTCAAAGCATCGCACTCTTGCCGCCGCCCTATTCCGTCGCCCTATTCGGCTCTGGGGGGATCCCCTGCTCCAGATCCTGCGAGCCCCGAGGAAGGCTTGAGAGCGCAGACCGGGCATGGGGCCGACCGTCTAATCTTGTCAGAAAAAGTTCAGACTGAAGGTCGCCAAGAAGTCTATCCGATTACTCGTTGCTGTTCTAAGCCCGTTTTGGGTTTAAGGTTGAAGGGGAGAAAACGAACATATAAGTTACGACTTGGACGCCTTTCACGAAGTTTCACGCTTTCTTTTCGCTGTTTAGACTTGTTCTGTACACTCTTTTTTTGTTTGTTGTTTCGTCACTTTTCTTTACTTTCTTTTCCTGTTTAGTCTCTTTTCTTTCTTTCCTCGAATATCGGTTACTCTCTCTCTCTCTTTCTCTCTCTCGCGGCAAACCCGAAGGCCTGCGGAAACGATGAAGGCTCCCACGACGTGGTCGATCCTGGCGGCCGCCGCCGCTCTGCACCAAGGCGCCGTCTCGGCACTGAGCGCGGCGGAATGGCGGTCCCAGACGATATACCAGGTCATGACGGACCGATTCGCGCGGACGGACGGGTCGACGACGGCGAGGTGCGAAATGTCGGAGCAGACGTACTGTGGTGGTTCGTGGTTGGGCATTGCGCAGCAGTTGGATTACATTCAGGGTCTTGGTGCGACGGCTATCTGGATTTCGCCCTTTGTGAAGAATGTCCAGGGCAAATCCCGTGACGGGTGAGTTGATCCCTTTTCCCTTGCAGTCGTTATGAGTTGAGGTATGGGGAGTTGTGCTGTCATGAGAGTTGATAAGAAACTCAAAACGGCATGCTCGACCCAGCCTATAAACATAGGAAAACTGTGACTAACACAACGTTAGCGAATCGTACCATGGCTACTGGGCGCAGGACATCTGGGAGGTTAACCCTCGCTTCGGCACCGCCGAGGATCTCATCTTCCTCGCCAATGCCATCCACGCCCGTGGTATGTATCTCATGGCTGACGTTGTCACGAACCACATGGCCTGGCTCGGTCCCGGCAACACGGTCGACTACTCCATCTATCGCCCCTTTTCCAACGCCTCGGCCTACCACACGCCGCCTTGCGTCATCGACTATTCCAACCAGGACTCGGTCGAGAGATGTTGGCAGGGTACCGACGCCGCCTCGTTGCCGGATCTACGCACCGAGGACCCACGCGTGCGCCAGGTCTTCAACGCCTGGATCAAGCGCGAAGTCAGCCGCTTCGGCTTCGATGGCCTGCGACTTGACAGCGCGAAGCACGTCGAGCCGTCCTTCTGGCCAGCGTTCGAGGCCTCGGCCGGCGTCGCCGCCTTTGGCGAGGTCTTCCACGGCGATCCAGTCTACGTGGCCCCGTACCAGGACGTCATGAGCGGTGTGATGAACTACCCCGTGTACTACTGGCTTACCCAGGCCTTCCAGTCGACGACGGGCAGCATCTGGAACCTTTCCAATGGCATCAAGACGCTCATCGCAACGGCGCGTGACCTGACGCTGTACGGGGGCTTCCTCGAGAACCACGACCAGCCTCGCTTCCTGAACCACACCTCGGACCGCACTCTCCTCAAGAACGCGCTGACCTTCAGTCTCCTTATGGACGGCATTCCCATCATCTACCAGGGTCTGGAGCAGGGGTTCAGCGGTGGTGAGACACCGTACAACCGCGAAGCGCTGTGGCAGACGGGGTTCAACACGCAGTCAGAGCTGTATCTCTGGATCTCCAAGTTCGTGTCCCTGCGCTCGACGCTGGCGGCGCTGGATGGCGGGTACCTCTTTTACAAGTCCCAGCCCATCCACACGGACGACCACACCATTGCCATGCGCAAGGGCTTCGACGACGGGCAGGTGGTGAGCGTCTACTCCAACGTCGGCACCAACCGCACCTACAGCGTGTCTTTGGCACAGGAAGACACGGGTTTCCGGCCGTGCAAGTTGATCCTCGAGGTCGTTCAGTGCCGACCCTACGTGACGGATGCGACAGGCGTGCTGAAGGCGACGAGCGGGAGCGGGGAGCCGCTCGTGTTTGTTCCGGCAGACAAGGTCATGGGGACGGGTATCTGCGCAGGTGGCATAGGCAAGCGTCCTCCTCCTCCCCCTCCCCCTCGTCGTCACAAGCCTTCTCCTCCACCTCCCCCTCCCTCTGGGACATCCACCGCAACTGCTGCCCGCTTCTCTACTACGCGCCTCGCTGTTGAGAGTACCGATTATAACTTAGATTCTATAGGACGTTTTAATAACATCACTTTGTCGCCTTGCCTGACATCCCAGCTTTGATACGTGTTCCGAAAATTCGAAACTAAAAGAAACAGCAGACTTTACATGCCGGAAAAAAAAACCCCCCAAAGGACGAAAACAACAAAATCAAACACCCGACCAAACAGCAACAAGTCTTTTTTTTTCACAACTCTCACTCAGCAGCTTACTTTCCTAGGAACATTAGTGTGTAGTTATTTTGTGTATTCCTTTTCGACCTTTCCTCCTTCGCCTTTGGTGTTGGACTTGTATTTTGGTGGGCAAGCGACTGGGCGGGAAGCCCAGGGGGAATTATTCACTTCTTTGCTCTAAATGGTTGGTAATTCAGGATAGCCCGAGGACACACACTCGAGGCATCCGTATACCCGCAAGACCACCTTTAGGCGTACATAGTTTGTGTGTCGTTTTTTTGCGGCCCCGAACATAACTTTACAGCAATGAACATATGGGAGCTCTACACTTGTAGAAGCCGCGGTTTTCACTCTCACAACTTTGTTGCGCTAGAATGGGTACTGAGACTGGTGATATATTCGTGTGATTCATATCCCTACCCGATGCTGCCACCCAAATTGTAATGATATATACAAGAAGTTGAAAAAGTTGAAGAAGAAGAAGAAACGATACCGAGTCCAGCTCCGGAGTATCGATCGCATGATTTATGCCAGCCCGAAAGCCCCCTTGGCCCTAGCCCAGTACGCGACACGATCCTCGGTGCCTGAGGTGCCGATACAGTCCATGTAGAGGGTAAACCCCTTTACCGTGCCGGCAGCGAGGTTCTCCCTGACGTCGGCGTCGCACTGCGTAGTGAGAAACCAGGCGGCGGAGCCCCAGGTGTAGTCGTCGGGCAAGACGAGCTCGAGGATCTGGTTCTTCTTGTCGTCGGTGAGGGTGTTTCCATCCGTGACGCCGCCCGCGATTTCTGTGGCTTTATCCTTGAGCTCCGGGATCGAGAGGGCGTATAAGAGGTTATACCCCGCCATTTGGAGGTTGCGGGTCCCTTGCCCGGGGCGGCCTGGTTCGGGGAAGTGGTTTCTGTTGTAGCGGAAGTCGCCGGTTTCAAAGGCCATTAGGGAGAGGAGGGCGGCCATTTCGCCCTTTGTCGTGACGTTGTATTTTTGAAAGGCTTGCGGCAGGTAGGATGCTACGTGGGCTGCTGTTGCGCATTCGTCTGCAAAGGAGGTTACGCCGTCGCAGGAGGTTGATTTGGGGGCTGTTGTGGCGATGATGGATGTTGCGTTGAGGGAGGCGTCTTCGTTGGCGCGGTGGGTTAGGGTGATCGGTTTGGCGAGGGTGGAGGTGAGGAGGAGGGAGAGGGGGAGGAGGGTTGTGAGGAGCATTTTTGGGTGGGTTGTGGATGTGGTGTTGTTGGTGTTTGTGATGTGATGATGTTGGTGTGAGGTGGGTTGTAAGTGGTGTAAGAGAGAGGATGGATCTTGTGTGAGGTCAAGAAGAGAAAGCGTTGGATGGCGATGATGCTGATCGTGAACCGTGATATAAGAAGCGAAAGGTTACACTCGTTATAAGAGAAAGGTTTAAGAACGAAACAAAGACCAGAGTGCAGAGTACAGAGCCGCAGTAGGTGGGACAACGATCGTAAGGTGGCAGAGTGAGTGACACAGTCAGATCAGAAAAAGAAGCGAAGGACTGATGAGAGAGAAAGAGAGAGAGACAGAGGCAGGGAAGAGGGAGGTGTTTGTCTTATTTTGGGAACCCTGGGAAAGGAACCAAAGGATCAAATGAACCGGGCTAGGATCTGTGGGTTTTGAACAGTCCCGCCCCTGGGTACAGCATCTTTGACGCGGCTCACTAAAGCCTGAAGGTGAGGTGGTCATGCGCGCGTGCCGTGTAGACTTCTTCTTAGTCGAAAAAAAAATACAGGAAACGAGAGCCAGTTGCCTTGCTCGTTCGGAGTTCCCTTGAGGAGGTCCCTTGGCGGAGAGAAGGGTGATCTTCACCGTCGCCTCCGCGCGCTTGCGCCAGTAAGATTTGCAGCTTTCCTGCCCACAAGGGATGGCCCCTGTTCAAAAACTTACTGTACTACAGCTATCCGCATATTCGGCAGAAAAGACATCTAACGAAGTAAACTTTTTGAACGAGTTTGTGAGGGGGGTTTTTCCCAGGATAGGGGATTAAAGAAGGGATGGACAATTGTAGGGATGCGCTCCGTTAGCCAGAGATCTTCGGCGAGGCCTCTGCGAGGTGGCCATGGTGAAACGAAACAGGGGCCAAGCCTACCCCCCGTCGACATGTCAAAAAGATGCAGCTGCGCGGTAGTGATTGGCTGAGGGGCTGCGGCTGATGGTGCGGAGCTCACGATGTTGCCTCCCTCCCCCCCCCCCCGGCTCGGGGGGAATTTGGAGGGGCAATTGGGTGATGCCGTTGCTGCCGAAAGGGCGGCAGAGTGAAATGCCTTAAGGAGGCTGGCTGGCTGGTGCATGTTTTCCCTTGTTGAGTTGGTCCCGTCACCTGTCGTGTAAGTCTTGTGGGGTTATTTGGCGAACGACATGGACTGAGGAACGCAAGTTGCCGCGGCAGTTTGCACGCTTTCCGAAACCTATGGCAGACATTTTTGTCTACTTGGGGCAGCAAGACTTGCTGTCATCCTGTCTTTCATAGCAAGAGTCAGGGGGGGCAGTCCTAGAAAGGCGCTCGTGTACTCTGCACTGTTGCAGATAGACTGGCGCGAGAGATGATGATCCGTCTTGGTTCATGCGCCTCGGACGGCCAGCCTTACTAAGGACTGGGGTGTGTTACTGTAGTACCTATGTAAGGTATACTACCCGTACTGGCAGCCTGGAAATGTACCCGGAATCAAGGTTAATTTTGGCAGAGAGCATGACAAAGACCCTGTGGAGTCTTTGTCCGTGTTCAAGACTTTTGATTGCGAAAGAAAATGCACACAATGGCAGCAGGGAATCTTTGAACTCTAGTGAATATGGGCGCTGAGTGAGATGTTGAAGCGAAGGATTTCGAGTCCGATGAACTGCCCTGTTCAAAGCCCCTTCCTTGTCAACTGCAGCCACAATGCTGCCCTTGGCTATCTGACTAAGCAATTCCCCGGTCTCCACTCTACGCACAGCATATGGACCAATGAGAATGTGTGTCTGGCCTAGTGACCATCAGCGCCAAAGTGGTCGTCGGCTCCTCAGCCCGTTGAAGCTCCGCGACCGCGACAAATCAATCACTCAATTCTCCTCTCGTCGCGACTAATTCAGCCTCGACTCAACCGCGCCGCATCGAGTCAACCACAGAATCCGACACCCACGCGCGCCTCCGCGCAAATAACAACCACACACACACACACACACACACACACCTTTGACGAACAAAACCATGGGCGAGAACCAAGCGAATGCCGCCAACACGGCGCAAGGCCCGGCTCCGACAATGCAAATGTATAGAGAGGAACAAGTCCGCCTGCGCCAGATGCTGGACAAGAGGGCAGTGATTGCCAGGAAGCTCGCCACCATCGAGGCCGACATTGAGCAGAAGGAGACGGCCTACCTCGACAGCACGCCGAACGGTAACATCATTGCCGGCTTCGACAACTACATCAAGGGCTCCGGCGCGGCCGCCCAGCGGCGCAAAGCTGGCGCCACGGAGCAGAACCGCGTCTTTTCACGGAGTTCGGTGTCGTATCGTCCTGGCAGTGTACGTCTCTCGATTCGCAGATGGCACTCCCAAGGACTAGCAACTGATGTAATTACCTTGCAGGAAGCCACGACACCTGGCTCGACTCCCGCTTCGCATGCGCCGACTCCCTTGTCGACGTCCTTCAAGGACGGCGGCGGCTCGAACCACGCGACGCCAACCTCCGCGACGGCATCGAAATCCGGCAAGAAGAATAAGAAACAGACAGAGGAGGACAGCGACCACGACTCGCAAGCGCCGAATAAGAAGCGCATCAACTTTGGCGCTGGACGCAAGTGAGGAAATCTCGGTTACAACAGGCTCCATCCCATCACGTTGGATGAATCGGCACAGAATGATGTTACGAACTTTTTTTTTTGGGATTAAGGTAATTTCATTTCGCGTATTGCTGAGGTAACTTCTTTCTGCGTCACAGCGATTGCAATCTTCGTAGGCTCCCAAGGACGTCTTGCGATTGTGACGTTTGGGACCAAGGAGGCTACTACCCAGCATCGCTTACTTTTGGACTTGTATGTATACAGTTCATGTCTAGCAACAAGTGTAGAAAGCTTGGCCTTGAGGGCAAAAATGTTGGCGGGAGTTGAGGAGTTCAGGAACCACGATACCCTAAAGGGCTTTCCAACAGAAAAGCTCATCCCAATCACAAAGTGTCGGGCAATACATTGTGGCCCATTGGCTCTTTTTTTCATCCATTCATTTGTTCTAGTAACACACCAGAGATGGGAGGCGAATTGGCCAGAAGTGTGTGTGTTTGGCCGAGGCTAAGGTCCGTTGCAGGCACTTTTGCACCGGGACGTTGCAAAAGTTCGTCTCCACTCCGGCACTTTTGCGCCGTTGGACCCTTAGATACTACGACGGAAGCAGAATCTGCTCATGTCTTCGTATCTAGGCATGAAGACCACCTGCCAACCTGAGAGCACCTCTCTGCCCAAATATTCCAAGGTATTCTCTTGGAGCCAGGATAGTACCGCGTGGGAAACAACTTCGGCCTTCATTATCACCTTCCTACAGGATCCTTTGGAAGCGAGCTGCCCTCTGTGACCGTAGAATCTTGGCTTCGAGAAGAATCAAATAGGAAGACAGACACTTATGAGGGTGACGGGATGGGAGAAACTATGGGGTGAGAGGACAATATACAAGGAGTAAGGTACTTACCTCCGTAACACTGAAACTCAACCTATATTGGGTACATTTAACAAAGTTGACACCCTGCTCAAGTGTTCTCAATTTTCCAGGCCTGCAAGATTCTCATATTGCTAGCAATATCTCCATGGCCCCGCTACCATGGGTCACGAGTTCAGATCTCGTGAAAAGATCACTGGTATTCTTACACTTGAATACTAGGGGATAAGTATCGTCTCGTGATTTTCGTAGGCCTCCCATATGGGGGAAGCTGAGCTTTTGTACTTTTTGATATATTTCTTGCCTGGAGTCTGTGTGTCGTTCGTATGGCGATTCATCATCGAAAGAAAAGAGCAAGATGCAGGTGGCTTCCCCACTAGTGTCTTACATGATATATAGGCCGTCGTCTGACGAAGCTTCTTTGAAGAGTACCGGGTTGCCTTCTCCACGAACAGCTCTAAGCAAGTTGGCAACACCATACCAATCGCTTCGGAGCCGACGGGCGGTGGCAGCGGGTCAAGCTGCAACGAGGGGCTTGAGGGGCCAGAGTCTGTGCAGCGCCTGCGCAGGGACTGAGAACCTTGTCGGCCCCAGTGTCTCTAACAGCCGTTGCTAGCCTGTCCATAGCTAGTGCGGGGCTCTTCAACCGAGCTTCCATGCCAGTGGAGGTCGGGTAGTCGATCCCCCGTCGTCATGTCGCAATTGACAATGCATGTTGACCGACATACATGTACGACACCTTTCCCAAGCCTCCTCTGTGTCCTCTGCCACCGATTCCCTTTGAATTATAATCCAGTTACTCCATGAACCGCCAGCACAGCGTGGTCCTCTAGCTCCTCATGATGACGATTCAAGCCTCCAAGTTTACCCCAGAGGTTCTGCTCTCTGCCCCGCGCAGGTCCCCGGGCATTCCCAACCCATCTGGCACGAAAGTGCTCTATACTGTGAGTTGGCTATAACCTCGAGGAGCCCCGGATGTCGCAATATTGCCATGGGATCTTGTGCTGCTCAATTGAAGTAATGAGCGCAAACTGACGCAGCTCAGGTCTCGACCTACTCATTCGAAAGCCACAGCAAGACTTCTCAAACGCGTGTTCTTGACGTCGAGAGTAGCCATTCAAGCCTCCTCTACGAAGAAGCATCCTACAGTGACGTAACATGGATTTCAGACGAGGAGATCCTGATCCTGCGAAGCGGTGACAAGGGGGCTACAACCCTTCTGCTAGGAGATGTTACGAAGCCGTCTACGTAGGTCGTCTCTGTCACCAGGCTTGCGAAACCCTTCATTGACGTCAGCTGTTACAGAGTTACCGAGATCCGCCACTTCGAGGGCAGCTTGTCCAGCCTGAAGGCCAAGCGACTATCCGACGATGAAGTCGCCATTGCCGTCGCCGTACTGACAACCCCGGAGGGTGCCATGTACAACCCGGCAGCCGAGAAGAAGCAGTTAACAACGGGCAAGGTGTATTCGAGCCTGTTTGTAAGACACTGGGATGCCTGGGTGTCCGAGAACCAGAACTCCATCTGGTATGGTCTTCTGAAGAAGAAAGACAAGTCGTACAAGCTGGAGGGTCGGGGTTTGACCAACGCCCTCGAGGGCACACGGCTGGTGTCTCCCGTTCCCCCCTTTGGTGGCAGCGGCGATTTTGACATTGGAAAGCACGGCATCGTCTTTGTTGCGCGCGACCCCGAGATCTCCCCGGCCATTTACACAAAAACAGACCTCTATTTCCTACCTTTGAAGACCTTCGCCGAGGACAAGCCGCCGTTGCCTCAAATCGTCAAGACTAGCAAGCTCCGTGGTTACTCGGCGGCACCCGTCTTCTCCAGGGATGGCAAGAAGGTTGCTTTCACCCGGATGAAGAGCGATCAGTATGAGACTGACAAGCCAAGGCTGCTGCTCGTTCCCGACGTCTTCGACCTGGCAAGCGTACAAGAGTTTTACCAGACAGACGACGGCGCCGGCGGCTGGGATGCGCGGCCCGAATGGATCACCTGGAGCAAGGACGACTCGGAGCTGTACGTTTCGGCGGAAGAGCACGGCCGTGCTAAGCTCTGGAAACTGCCAGCGACCCCGCACGAGGCGAAAGACCTTCCCGCAGCAATCTACGAGGAAGGCTCTGTTGTCGAGGCGAAGCTGTTGGGAGATGATGGGGAGAAACTCTTCATCAGCACGTCATCTAGGGTCGAGAACTCGGCCTACTCCGTTCTGGATCCCGTGAGTCAGAAGACTGATCTCGTGTCCTCGAGCTCCAAGCACGGAAAGTCATTCGGTCTGTCCAAGTCTCAGTGTGACGAGTTCTGGTACAAGGGAGCCGAGGGATACGACGTTCACGCCCTCGTGGTGAAGCCATCGAACTTTGACGAGAACAAAAAGTACCCACTCGCGTTCCTCATACATGGAGGCCCTCAGGCTGCGTGGATGGATAGCTGGAGCACGCGATGGAACCCTGCCATCTTTGCGGAACAGGGTTATATCGCAGTCATGCCCAATCCGACGGGAAGCACCGGCTACGGACAGCAGCACACCGACAATATTCAAAATGAGTGGGGTGGTCGTCCGTACGTGGACTTGGTGAAGTGTTTCGACCACATCGAGAAGAACATTTCGTACATCGATTGTGGCAACGCTGTTGCTTTGGGTGCTTCATACGGAGGATACATGATCAGTGAGTCAATACAGCAGTGTACGATGTAGCGATAGATGCTAATCCCTCGCAGACTGGATCCAGGGCCACGAGCTCGGAAGAAAGTTCAAGGCATTGGTCTGTCACGATGGTGTGTTTTCAACGCTGAACCAGTGGTCTACCGAAGAACTCTTCTTCCCTCTGCATGACTTTGGCGGTCCTCTTTGGGAGAACCGAGAGGGCTACGAGAAGTGGGATCCCGCCCATCATCTCGACCAGTGGTCGACGCCACAACTGGTCATTCACAACGAGCTGGATTACAGACTCCCCATTTCCGAGGGTCTCGCCATGTTCAATGTTCTGCAGGCGCGCGGTGTGCCTAGCAAGCTATTGATGTTCCCCGACGAGAACCATGTAAGTACTGAGCAACAGACTATGTTGAATACCTTGATAATTGACTTATGCAAACAGTGGGTTTTGAAGCCTGAAAACTCTCTTGTCTGGCACAGAGAGGTTTTGGGCTGGATCAACAAGTACACGGGCCTCGACAAGTCTGAGGATGTGACTATCAGGCAGTAATATGGATAGTAAGGTCTGAAAAGGAATGGTGAAGGTAGCAGTATGTTGTACATCGTGGGTCGTAGCGGTACTCAAAAAGTTGAAATGCCATTCCTGATTGAAGATGATTAAAAACGATTTGTCTACCTTGTGTCGCCAAGGCAATGTATCCAATCAGAATGTACCAGAGGATTGCTGTGCAACTGTGAAGATGCCTGTCTTCCTGTAAGGTAGTTCGAGAGCATTCGTGATAGTAAGTGCCTCAAGGGCAAGTATAAGGTACAGTATCCACAGTGTCGGGGGAGCTTTCCCCAACGGTTCCCCATCCTGCAGGAGCTCCCACCTCACCTCCTTCTGTGACCTGTAGGTTCCTGCTGGTCCGAGCTCCATCCATTTCACCAAGGCTGAAATTTCGCGAACTTGCAACTTCTTCACCCACTCTTCAATTAACGAACGACTTGCACATAGGGATTGACGTGACCGACGGCTTTCCTTTACCCTATATATCCACCCAGCGCCGACTTGCGACCCGAGAATTACGCGTCACAACATCATGCGAAGCTTCCTGAATCTACCTCAGAACCGAAGGTGACAGACGAAATCGCAAACTCCCGAACGAGCCCTGTCACAGCAAACCCGCGATTTCCTCTCGAGCCGTTTACTACCCTTAATTCTTGGCCCCGACAAATCCTTGAGCTCTACGATAATCCCGAGGTCGGAAAAAACAACACCTTAATTCAACTGAAATTACCCAAATACACAAAAGACAAACGGAGAGAAAGAGAAAATGACACCCCCACCAGTCCTCTTCCACGCCCTCCTCCGCCCTGCGGTCCTCCAGATCCTGCGCGCGACAGGATACCACGCCGCGCGGCCCGTGGTTCTCGATGCCGTCACGGAGCTCGCGGCGCGCTACATGTTCGCCCTCTGCCAGGCGACGGCGCGGCACGCGGGCGACAACGACCCGCAAGGTGACGCTGGCCCCGGCATGGTGGATATACGCATGGCGCTGCAGGAGCTGGGCGCCGTGCCCCCGGACGACGTGCTCGCCGAAGGAAGAGGCGCGATATTGGGCGAGATTCTAGACTCGCTGGACGAGGAAGGCAGGAGCGAGGCAGGCGCAGAGCTTGCGGCGGCGGCGGCGGCGGCTGCTGCTGCTGCAGCTGCGCCGGACGGCGAGGGAGACTTGACAATGGCAACGCCGACGGCGGTTGCTGAGAGGGGACGCGAGAGAGAGAAGGTCGTTGAGGATACGAGAGGCGTGGACGAGTTCATCAAGTGGTTCTCTGGACCGCGGAACAAGGCCATTCGCGAGGCGGCGGTTGGTGATGGGGAGCTGGAGTTGGGCGACTACTTGAACGGTTCGTCACCTCACCCTTCGCCATCTACGGAAACGGAGAGGAAAGAGACTCTTGCGATCAAAGCTGACATAATGAGACAGTCCTGAAGAAGAAGCACAGCAAGACGGGCGAAGACTCCAAGTACCACGGCACGATCATCGGCAAGGGCAACGACGTGGGCGAGGTCCAGGTCGAGGGCGGCGACCTCCCAAGCATCCACACCTGGCGGTCCAAGATGCAAGGACCGCCGCCGGGCAGCGCACCGTCGGCGACTTCGCCACGGATCAAGGAGGAGTCGCGACCGCCGAGCTCGGGGCTCAGCTCCGTGGGCGACAGGCTGGGCGACGACCGCGACAGCATGGACTTGTCATAGGGGGCAAACATGCGGAAACGGAATCGCACCGGCAGCACTGCCAGCCAGGCGAGCGTTGTCAGCGTTGTCAGCGTTGCCAGCGTCAGCACGAGTAAGACCGAGGGTCGCGAGAGTCGCGCGGTCCGTTCGAGAGGAGGCCGCGGCCGAGGCGGCTCGATGGCGACTAGGGGCAGGGGCAAGACTAGCGGTGGCAGAGTCACCAAGAACAAGACGACGGCGACTACGGCCAAGGCTAAGACCAGAACCAGGTCCAACACGAAGACGAGGCAGCAGCAGAAGCAGAAGGACGATGACGAGGATGGTGATTTCACGGCATAGCGCGGCGTTTTTTTTTAAAAACAAGGGGAGGGGAAGGTATCATTACTTTTTTTTTTTTTTTTTTTCGGGTCTGGCACTTGAGCGAGAGAGACAACTCCTCCCCGAACCAAACCAAAAAGTTTTACTCGTCGTTTTGGAGGCGGGAACGGCAGGCATGGGATGGATATGCATGAATATGGGAAGTCATGGGCTTTCATGAAAACGGGAAGAGGTGTCCCCCCCTCCCCCCCTCCTCCATCTAGGAGGGAACGGGAACTCGGATGAGGACAGCATTTATCACACAAACTTCTCCAGCCGAGAATAGGCAGGCTGAGGGATGGGGGTCTACTTTTTTTTTGGGCAAAGCATTGTATAGAGGCCACTATCTCAAGCCAATACTTTCTACTTCAGACTCGTAATCATGTTGTGGTAAGAGTTTTCCAGTAAGGGGTACACTCATCATCTACGTGATGTGACGCGAGTTTGGCGAGGTGACATATACACCACTATACTCGATAGTTGAGATGTCAAAATGCCAAGGTGTCAAAGTATGGTTGGTATGCTTTCTGATTTCTCTCCTTGTCTAACCTCTCGAGGGGGGCATTACACTACTACCATGATAGCCATTTGAATCATCTCTCGCCAATTGGTATATCCACCTCTTCTTCCCTTCAGAGGGAGTTTTCTCTCCCCCTCCTTATATCCTCACAGGGGATAAACAAAACCCAACAACAGTAGTTATGTACCATCTTCTTTTTTACCAATTTCGTCCTGGGTGAGGTGCCCCCTTTCCCGGGTATGTTTCGCTTTGGAAAAAAAACTCCTATGCCTGCCCTTTGTCTGACCGTAAATCGGCGAGATATGCTTGTATGCCCCTTCCAAAAATGTACACAGTTTGTGGTTCTTTCTCTTTCTTCCCTTCTCTTTCAGCTGTATATATAATAAAAAAACGAGAAATAAAACGAGACATGAATTGTCTAGTTATCGCGGTGGGCCTGGGCCGTCCTCGACTCGTGCGCGGTGTGTCCCGGGTTAGGCAGAATATCGCCGTCGGCAGTGACGAGGTTATCCTCGTAATCGGTGCTGTTTCTCAACAGGCCCGCCTCCTCGCCGCTGCCGTCGTCGTTATCGCTACCGCTCGATGACGCGCCCGAGGCGTGCGCAACCTCCATGTGGCCGCGCTGAACCTCCTTCTGGGCGTCCTCGCGCATCTGAGTGATCTTGATGTAGTTGTACGCGACGATGGCGCCCATGGTGGTGATGAGACCGACAAAGTTGACGGGCGTGAGGCGGTCGTTGAAGACGATGGCGGCGGCGGAGATTGTCACGACCTCCTTGAAGATACCGGCGATGGAAAGCGTCACGACGGAAGTACGCTGCAGCAGAGCGAATTCCGAGGCTGTCATGAGGAAGGCGATGCATCCAGGGAAGAGCAGGAACAGCGGCGTCGTGATTGCGCCCCATTCGGCGACGAGGACCTTGAGGCCCTCGATGAGGGCGGGGAAGCCCTCTACTGGAATGGCGATCACGATCAATGTCAGAAACATGACGGGCGCCAGGAAGAAGATGCTAGAGAAGGGGTTCGACGTTGCCGGGTTGCGCAGGAGCAGGATTTGCGTCAGGCCCCAGCGGAATCCGGAGAAGAAGGCCGCAGAGATGACGAGGATGAACCCGCTGACTTTGAACTCGACTTCTCCCGACACCATCAAAACGACACCCGCAGTCATCGTCGCAATGATAGCCACGAGGCGCCATGTGGGCTTCTCGAGTCTGAACAAGAAGGCGAAGATCAAAACGAACGCTAGAGAAGATGATTTACACATTGCTTGAACGGCGTTAGTCTTTTGGTGGTGAACTCCAATCGGCGCACATCACTTACTGTAGAACGTGAGGGTGATGAATTTGAGCGAAGTGTTTCCGAGTCCAATATCGAGACCGGTAGCGGCGCCACACGGCCCAATGCGCGTCAGATAGAACATCTTGGTCATGAGAGGTCGGTCGGGCTCAGATTCGTGCCGCGAGCGCCCCAAATCCGAGTTGCGCACTCCATTGGACGGGCGCAGAGAGGGTATTAAGAATAGCACTAGTGATGCGAGGCCGAATTGTACCAACATGTGGCAGGCCGTCGTGAAAAGAGGGAAAGCAAAGTTGAGGCGGTTCTCGTCAAACATCCATTTGTTGTACTGCGGGCTTGGGTGTCAGCTTGTGATTCTACTAACTGAATCGCCAAAGAGCGTACGAGGGAAATGGGCTTACTAGTGAGATGCTGAGAGAAAAGAAGTACCACAGCAAGATCAGGGCGACGTTGACGGCGGATTTCCTAAAGACGTTTTGATCTGCTTCCTTCTTCTCCTCGGCCGAGATTTCGCCGCGGACGAAGCGCTGATCTAACCGGGTGTTGTTCCTCTTCTTTTGCTTTTTCCTCCTCTTATCCTTCTTTGTCAGACCTGTCTCCTCGTCATCGTGGAGATCCTCGTCGGAAAAGCTGTCGTCGTCGATATTCTTGGATGCCGATGGTGTTGTTCCAAGGTCCTCCTCCGATATCTTTGGCTCTTCCAGCATGTTCCCCTGGTTCCTTGACGGGACTCTTTGGTGGTTACTAGCGCCGGCACTTTGCATGAGCGAGCTGCGGCGCCGGCGGTGGCCGGTTTCTTTCAATGGCTCCATTTCGATCTCGTCGTCGGCGGCAACAGGAGGAGAGCGCTCTTGAGCGGAGGTGTTGTGGGAAGAAGAAGAACCCTGGCGCAAGGATGCGTGGGCAGTATGAGCGGCAACGACGTCTCGTGGCCGGGGACCATCCGGGTTCGTGGGCGTGTACTCCGTGGTGGTCGCGTGTCCAGGCGAGGGTGCGGTGGGTGGTGGGAGGAGCAGAGGTGACGGGCTCAGGAGGCGACGGTTGGTGGTATCAGTAGTATGGCGGTCGTGTGAGGAGGAGGATGAGGAGTGGAGGGCGTCGTCGTGGTCAATGGGGTCGGGGGAGGATGATACGGCACTGGCAGCAGCCGAGACGGAAACAGAGGCAAATTGAGATTGAAGTTGAGAGTGAGATTGAGATTGAGATTGGCTAGGGTCGGGAGGCAGCAGGACATGCACAAGTGAAGAGGAAGTCGAGTCGGAGGGCGAGGAGGAGGATTGGGGCATGATTTAATCTGGGAATCCACAGCGGGATTCACAAGCACGACCTAAGCTGCCGGGGCTGGTAGGCTTGGGTGTATCCGTAAGGTAGGTACGGTGTGTAAGGTCAGATCCAGTTTACCGGCCGTCGTTCTCTCTGGGCATCACAGTAAAAGGTAAGGTAGATCGGCCTAGGTCGATGGGGTCGGGACGAGGGAACTGGGCGCAGTTGATTTGCTGTTCGGGGTCTGGGCTTGTGTGCTTTGGTGCAATGTTTGGTGCATTTGGAAGCACATTTGGAGTTAGGCTGTCGAGAGGACAGACTGCGCGTGAGAAAGGTCCTAATCCTGGTTCACGGCCACGGCGGCGGTGCGGATCATTTCTCCAGTCACAAGTGTCGCGCGGGCGCCCACACGCGGACGAGGTGGGTACCATACATGCTGAGTCTCTTGAGATGGTCCACTGCTAGGGAGAAGGAGAGGGACGGGGGCAGGCGGGCTGGGAGGGGGAAAAGGGGACCGGGGGACGGGGGACTGCGGTGAGGTGGGACAGGCCCAACAGGGTAAGGTACCTCTAGAAGTTGCTGCAGGTACGTACCGCTGTCCACGGGTTGTCTGGCCCTGCAGCCCCTGCCCATGATCTCGGTGGCTTATGCTTACCGCCAATTACCGCTATGTACCGCCCGCCTTCCACTCAACTTCTCCTGAGGACAGACAGCCTGGAAAACGCAGATGCTTCAATCTCTGCAAAATGTCTCTGCTTTTCCTGCTCCCAAGATGAAATATGGGGATCGCCTTGGCACGCCTCACGGTGGAGACGTCTCGTGGGCTTCTGCTGCAGCACTGGCACAACTGGACTTCGCTTCCAGGCTTTCTCCCACGGCGGTCAGGGTCGTCATCAGGGATGACCTTTCTTGATGCTCCCTGTGACATGCCAGCTCAGAAGGACACTCACCAAGGCACGCGAGGAGAAGGAGGCGACTTCTGGGTGGGAATCCTATGCAGAGCGGCCTGGCGAGAACAACTGTCAATGGAACTGTCAACAAACAGTCCCGCAGTGCAGACTGTGCAGTTTCCTTCAGGCACCGCGGTGCTTCCGGGGACAGTGCATCCCACCTCGGGCTAGATGAGGATCAATGGGCTTGGAAGAACTGACGGAAGGAAGAATTGGGTCTTTCTGCAATAGTACCACTACTATGAGAGATTTCCTCTCTAGACTCACCACGGTCACTACCCGGGACGAATGAGGTAGTAACAATACGCGTGTTTTCTTTGAGTCATCATGCTTCGTTCGTGGTCCCCGTCTTCAGCTGGACAACGTTCGTTTGCCTTTTTTATGCTTTCCCGCGGCCCGTCACTAGTGTGTCCTTCTACTAAAGTATCTGAGATTACCTCGAAGTACGCGAAGTTAGCTGCAATGTTTTAGCCCCTTTATCCGTACTGATCCCCTCCCCCCCCCCCCTCCCATCAACCTCACCTACACAGTGGCAAGTACTGGTAGTATGTGAGGTCACAGACCGAACACTAGTGTAAGCGTTGAAGCAATAGCATAACGCAAGAGTGGCCCAGATCGCCAGTAACTGAGGGTCGTCCGAAGATGTGATGCTTCAAGTTTCACGGGCGGTAAATGGACCCGTTCGTCCTACTAAAAAGCTATCCGATACACACAAACCCAACACCTCCGAAAATGCAACCTCCCATTTAAGCTTGGCCCAGCCGTCTCTCACATCCAGAGTCACAGGATCTCTCATCCACTTGTTGGGGGCCCTGTTCGACGCAACCTTACCACCACCACCCCCTCCTCTGCTCCCCCCTCACCGCGATTCCGATTCCAAGCTGCAGGGAGGTCATTCATCGTGGGCAGCACAAGTCTCTCGGTTATGTTGCTAGCCATGTGGTTAGGTGTCACGGTCGTCGGTAGAGCTCTTACAGTCTAACTACCTATCTACCTAGGCACAGGAGTCTAGTGGCCGGGACTATTCCAACCTTGCGATGAAGGTGCTCGGGTGACCAACTGCCCAGAGCGATCCAACCCACCTTTGAGTGAGAGTCTCACATTGAACTCAGTCTCACACGCCAGCCCGTGACTTTCTCAACCCAACTGAAGTCGCAACTCCTCTTCTCTTCCCCCAGCCAGATTTCACCATGTCCCGGACCCGGATCCTCGGGCTTGCGCCGCGACCCGCTGCCGAGTAAAAGAAAAAGCCCGCCCAGCATCCGAGTTGTTTGAATCATTTTGTTAACCAGTAGCCACCCATCCATCTCGGTCTCGAGGTTGCTGGTTTAAGTGATCAACCTCCATCCTAAACAACCGTCGCATTGTTTTCGTTTCCGGGCCCGTTTCTTCTGAGACCTTTTGCCTTGCAGATATAATAAATACAGTAAAGACAAGCTTGTTGCCTCGGTCCGAATCCGTTCACAGGGAGGCTGTGGTTTTCCCCAGCTCTCCCGCCGCCCTACTCTCTTAACGCATGGACCTTCACTTCGTAAAATCCATCCCAAAAGAGGCATCGAGCTCACGGATGGCGGGCAGGAGAGAGTCCGAGTCCGAATCGGAACTATCGACTGACAGATGCAACAGCGTACCTACCGCCGCGCCAACCTCCCGCACAAGTCTCTCCATTTTATTTTTCTTTTCTTCCCCCGCAGACCGTAGACGCGAAGAAAAAAGAAATAAGACGGCGTCACAAGCTACCACAAGTCCCACCGCCGTGAAGCTTTCTTAGCTTTCGAGGCCGTTGAATGTCTTGTCTTACCCAGCCAACCAGCCCCGACGTGCTGTTTGTGCGTGAGTAAACACCTGGCGCCAAAGATCAAAAAGAAATGTAAGGAGTGAAAACACAAGGCGGTTGAGTGAGACACCTTACCCGCCTCGTTCAGCCTTCCTGATTACCTTTTCTGACTAAATACCCGCCGCTGCCCGTCCGCCATTGCTTTGTTTCTTTCCCTTTTCCCGTTCCCCAGCGCGTACGTGTCTCACTCTCACGTCGGATGCTGGAGAGGGAGCTCCTGGGTGAGCTAGGCAAACGTTCCAAGGGAGAGAAATAGGTCCAGACCCCTTTCCCATGATGTCAGCCACCGTCATTCAACACCGTACTCCGTAGATCGTCCCCCCGCGTACGATGTTCAATCCACCTGCGATCGATCTCGTCGACTCAGGCAAGAGTGGTGGGTTCTTCGGCGGAAATAGTTCAGAAAATCTCCACCATAAACCGTATTCTTTTTTCATGAGAGTTTTTCAGTTATTGGGTTCTATTTGATTTTTGTCACATTGTCTAAGCTCCAACAGGGTAGCTTTCGCGCGTGTCGTGCCTGGGGCCTGGGCCTGGGGGTTTGCCGATCTGGCAGCTCACTTCATTAGGTAGGTATCCATATGAACTGAGCTGAGCTCCAAAGTGGATTCTCACTAGCGGCGCGATGCGTCGCCCTTCGGTATTGAGCAGCGTCATCAAACTTTTGGGTGCTTGACATCACATCACGCACTTTGGGTCCAAGTTAGGCTCTCTCTCTCTCTCTCTCTCTCTCTTCCTCGGAAGCTGTCTGCCTTAGGAGTAACAATACGGTTTTTCATCCGGAATATAAGCTTTCATCTGAGAGCTCCTATAGCTAGTGATCAGTGAGTTTGGTAATATGTAGCCTCCCAGCGGGAGCAAGCGGCGATACGTTTCTGTTCACGCTGCAGGAGTACGTCGGGTACAAGTCGAGAGTATCGGAGCGCTAGGTGTTAGTCGGCGTTTGTCATCGAGAGACAACTATGATAAAAGCGTCCGCTGACATGTGTTTGTTGATTTCTCCCCGCAGCCACAATAAGGTAGCTGCAGATCGTGGCTTCCGCTCTACCCGCTCTCTCAGTAATCGCCGGGGTTTACCCCCCATTGCTTAGACCTCATTCTTGACTTCATAGCTTACATTCAGTTAGTATCATGACTGTTCAGCAGTAGACATTGAGCTGACTATTCTCTGATGTTCTCCCTGTCATAATCTTTTCACTAGAAGAGGTCCCGCATGAGCACGTATAATTTACAACAATACTTGATATCTCCTTAGCATCTCACCAAAAAGCGCTTCTCCAACGATCCGGGAAACGACGTCATGGCTCAACAGTGCTCGACAAGGCATGTCGCCGGCAGCCGTGCCGGGTACCTGCCGATCGAGGACTATGGCATGATTGGCAATATGCACACATGCGCGCTCGTGGGGACGAACGGTTCAGTTGATTTTATGTGCTGGTATGAGGCCGGTTTCTTTCCCACATGTCTTTATGCTACTTGCATGCCTCCCCCCCCCCCCCGGGCCGATGTTATATTCGGCCGAGTGATGGGCCCCCCATTGCTCTCTTCGTCTCTTCCCATAGTAGCCGATGAGATGGATAACGACAAAAGATGCTACATGAGGATCATCCCAATGTACCAAGATCTTGAGATCAAAATGTCTTGAGACCAAAGCCGTCGAAGGGCCCATCATCCGGCCCACATGAGCTCAAGTTTCCCAGTCGATGAGATACTACCACTTACATCTCGCCCATAAATCCTGACATCTGACGCACTATTCCCTAGGCCGGATTTCGACTCGCCCAGTATCTTCTGTCGGTTATTAGACCAAGACAAGGGCGGCTTCTTCAGCATCTGTCCTCCTCCGTCCAAATTGTGTACAACCAAGTGAGTAATCTGAGTACCTTGTATGCGTCGTGATACCCCCTCCCTGACCAGTTTCCAAAAGGCAACAATACCTCCCATCCTCCAATATCTTGCAAACCAGATACATCCACGATGACGGCGTCGTCGACGTTGTGGACTTTTTCCCTCGCCCCAAGACCGCCACGGTCATATCGAAGAGCACCCGCCAGGGCGCCTTCCGTGAGACGACCAAGATCCAGGAGGAGCTGAAGAAATGGCTTGTCCGTCGAGTCGAGTGTATCCGCGGCCGTCTACAGCTTGGTAGGTTGAGCTACTGTCTAATATTCACCAAAGAGTCCAGTCAATGCTAACCTGTATTCCCAGACATTGAGATCTTCCCGGCCTTCCAATACGCCAGCGAGTCCCACGTCACCACCATCATCGAGCCGACTCACACGGCAAGCAGCCCAAGCAAAGCAGTCACCTTCCACAGCGAGCACTACAAGATGCAGCTCGACGTCACCATCGACGACGTCCCCGAGTCCGAGGCGGACGCATCGACATCGCCGCGGACGCCGGCGCCACCACCCTCCATCACTTTCAGAAAGGAGAAGCGCGACGGCATGCTGGGCGAGGGCGTCGTCGCGCACCTGGAAATCACAGAGGGCCAGGCCGTTTCGTTCGTCCTCCGGAACGACAAGCCGGACCACGTCACGGAGAACGTCACGACGGCGGTGCTCGACGGCCAGCAGCACGACACGCAGTCGTTTTGGTACAACTGGATCTCCAAGAGCAAGTACAAGGGTCGGTGGCGCGAGGTCGTCAACCGGAGCTTGATGCTGCTCAAGATGCTGACGTACGAGCCCACCGGCGCCATCGTGGCTGCGCCGACGTTTTCTATTCCCGAGGATATCGGTGGTGTTCGGTAAGGCCTTCTCATCGTTCCATTGTGCTTGTTTCTTCCCTCTTCTTGTTCATTGGAATAAGCTCACCGATTCACGCTAGAAATTGGGACTATCGCTTCTGCTGGGTCCGCGACTCGAGCTTCACAATCTACATCCTCCTTCGCCTCGGCTTCTCCGCCGAGGCAGACGCCTACATGGACTTCATCAGCGAGCGCTTCGTCAAGTCGCGCGGGCCCAGCGGTGAGCTGCCCATCATGTTCACCATCCGCGGCGAGACGGAGATCCCCGAGATGGAGCTCGACCACCTCGAGGGCTACCGCGGCAGCAAGCCCGTGCGGATCGGCAACGGCGCCGCGTTCCATCAGCAGTTTGACATCTACGGCGAGCTCATGGACGGTATTTATCTGTATAACAAGTACGGGAAGCCAATCAGCTGGGATCAGTGGTGTTCTGTGAGGGAGATGCTGGGTATGTTTGTCTCTTTGGACGTTGGTGATACTTCTTTTGCTGGGCCGTGGAGCTAATCTGCTGCGTGTAGACTTTGTCCTCACTTTGACGGATCGTAAGTTGCCGAGTTTCTTCACCATTGAAAAAAGGGACATGAGTATTGACGTTAAAAAGAACCCGACATGTCCATCTGGGAGGTCCGCAACAAGAAGCAAAGCTTCACCTACTCAAAAGTCATGCTCTGGGTCGCCTTCGACCGCGGCCTCCGGCTCGCAGATAAACGCAACTTCCCCTGTCCCAACCGCAGCAAATGGCTCGAAGCCCGCGATAACCTAATGGAGGAGATCATGGAGAAGGGTACGTTTTTCTCACCCTTTGATTTTATTCTACCCATCCTCTCGCAGCTCTCTACCCCTTGTTGATTCCCCAGCGTATACACAACCATCATGCGTAAGAGCCGACGGGAAGCCGAGACGAAAACACTGACAACCACCGCACCGGCGTGACAACAGGATACAACAAGGAGATGAAGTGCTTCGTCCAAAGCTACGAGAACAACACCATGCTCGACTCCTCAATCCTCATCGCCCCGCTCGTCTTCTTCATCGCCCCCAACGACCCGCGCTTCCTAAACACAATGGACCGCATCCTCATGCCTCCCGAAAAGGGCGGCCTCACCAGCACAGGTCTCGTCTCCCGTTACGATACCGACCTATCAGACGATGGTACGCCCCTAGATTCCCTACATTTCTCAATTTGATACCTAACCTATACTGCTTTCCCCCCCCAAATAGGCGTCGGCGGAAGAGAAGGCGCCTTCAGCATGTGCACCTTTTGGCTTGTCGAGGCAATGACGCGCGCCTCCGTTTACGAGCCTAAATACCTCGTTCGCGCCGTCAATTTGTTCGAGAACATGCTCAGCTTCTCCAACCACCTCTCCATGTTCTCCGAGGAGATTGCCCGCAGCGGCGAGCAGCTGGGCAACACGCCCCAGGCTTTCAGTCACCTGGCCCTCATCAGCGCCGCTTTCAATCTGGACCGTGTTACCGGGTTTCAGCGGTGATTGCGGTCTGATTTCTGCTTTCGCGAGATTTACAGGGGCTGGATGGAGTGAGGGAGGGATGGATGGATGGATGGATGGAATTGAGCTTGGATGAAGGTCGTCTCATCTCATGTACCTCTGTAATGCTACCAACTGTTGCGCTGTCAGGCGTGTAAATAGAGGATCAATCGAGATGGGGTTTCAGGGAAGTACTCAGGAATTTTTCGACAGGACTGCCTGACTTTACATCCTCCTTACTACCTCAGACTGCGTGATAGTTAGTACCATAATAGGATAAGGGAGAGAGGGTACCGTAAGAGAGGGTCATGTGAGAAGTTGCAGTTCATCACATCACATAATTGGCATATTCATTGCAATGTCTCACTGAGAAAGTGCTTCTATTGTGTCGTACGTTGATTATGATGGGTATGGGTGACCTCCAACTCCAGAACGCCAGTCTAGCCGAAGAAACTATTCCTGAAATCAAGAAACAATCATCCAAGCAACTTGAGACCGTTCTTGGTCTTCTGTCCGGGCTTGGTGACACCGTGACTATGCACAGGGCCAAGGTGGGGTTCATACCCAGTACCATCGGCATTCTTGTTTCCTCCGCCACCACCGCCACCACCGTTGCCAGAGTGCTTCTTGTTCTTGTTATTGCGGTTGCTGCGGTGGTCCTTGCCCTTGACGTTGGTGATCTTGATCTCCGTGTTCGCCTTGCGCACAGTAACCGGGTGACTCTGGATATACTTGCCGTTCATCTCCTTGGCGGCCTGGAAGAAGTCGTCGGCGTCGCTGAAGGAGACGAAACCGTACCCCTTGGACTTGGCGGTGCGTTTGTCGCGGATCACGCGCGCCTTCTGCACCGACTGCCATCGCGAAAAGGCCTTGAGGAGGGACTCGTCTGTGACTTCGCCCGCGAGGTTGCCGACAAACAGGCGCAGGTGGCTCGGGTCCCACTCGGCGAGGGTGTCGTCGGTCCACTTCTTGCCGCCGCCCTCGCGGACGACGGTCTTCTTGCGCTCGGGAGGCTGGTTCGCTGCTGCTGCCGCGGCGGCCGCGGCTGCGGGGTCGATGATGGGAGGGGTCGCGACATTGCTGCCTGCGCCGGGCATGCCTCCGCGACCGCCGGGGACGACGGGATCTCTACCGCTGGCGTCCTTAGTGCCGTTCGAGCTATATGCGCTTTGCCACTGTGCTATCTGCATCGCCATGTCCGGATCGTAGTCAGAGGCCGAGGCGGCGGATGGGCCTGCGGCAGGGGCACCGGTGCCGGGAATCGGGAACGGGTTGCGAATCTGCGGCGCTGCGCCGTAGGTCGAAGGCGGCGCATTGTAGCTCGAGGCCTGGCCGTAACGAGAGCCGGCGCCGGGTTGTGCGTATGAATCGTATGCGGGCATTGGTGCTGTATAGCGACCGGCGCCACCTACCGAGGGCGAGGGCGACGGTTGTTGCGAGTACGATGCGTAGGAGGAGCCATAATGGGCGGCGGGCGCGCTGGCATAGGTCGGTGCGCTCGAGTAGGAGGTAGGCGCGGATGAGGCTGTAGCTCCATAGGCAGGCTTGAAAGCGGGCTTGAAGCCTCCGGATGACTTGCTCGGAGGAGGCCTCGCGGGCAGGGAGGGGTGAGAAGGTGGATTGCCGTTAGAGGGGCCGCTTGAGATACCTGGAGGGGGCGGGTAGGCCATGATGAATGAACTGCGGGTATGATACGGTTTTTTTTTGGTGCAAGCAAGGCGCGTGTGGCTTTGCTTGAGCTTTTTTGTGGTAACGTACCTCTGAGCCTGGGATTTTCCTGCTCAAAGAAGTCAAATCTCCTTTGCTGTTTGCTATAGCCGACGGTGGGCGGGCTGTTGTCGGGGCTGTCGCAAATGCAGAGATGGGTTTGCTGATGATGTATTCGGAGAAATTGTGACGATGTCGTCTCAGCCTCGGCGATGGCGCGTGGCCGATGTGGCTAGTGGCTATGTCCGATCTGTCACGTGCCAGATGTGGCTTGTGCTGGGAGGAATCTCGGACAAGGAAGTGTTCATTGCTTGGCACTGCTCTTCAACCTTCCAGGTGGGTGGACACTGGACACCAACTGCCGCAATCGTTGCTTCTCGAATCCCGAGGTTCACAATGCAGTCCATGCCGCCGATTAAACGCCCAGAGAAGTCTAAACTCGGAAAACAGGAATCCCAGTTCCGTCTTGAGCCATTTGATTATATGGCACCGGCCGTGCAGCAGGCTGACTAGACTTTCGCTCCGTTCGGCTGGGATTGTCACCATCCCATTTAACCATGCTGTTCCTGCATCAGCTGCATTTTATCCGTCGGACATCTTCAGACGGACATAACGGATAATCAGTAGTGCAGCTATCGGTGTTTGCTGACTGACATCATGGCCTCCGTTGCCCTCCGACACGACGCTGCGTTTTCCCTCGGTCAGGACCATGCCAATCAGTAATGCGCGTGGATATTAAGCGGAGCATTAGCGGAGTTCTCAACCGACAACTCCGGGTCGTGCGACCGATCCAAGGCCCGAAGGCGGCGGTAACCCCCACTGAGGTTGCCCCTCGTTTTCCCTCTGTGAGGTCCATATTTCTCGATTTGTGAGCAGCGAGGGACGGATTCACCGTCGGCGGTCGCGCTGCGGCTGCGCTGCCTCCATCCACACCTTGAGGTACCTTGGGAGATGGAGGTGCGATATTTTCTGTCCCCTTCTGCTGAGGGCGTGGGTCTCAACGAACCCAATAGATTGAGGCAGCTTCGGCCAAGCAGTCCAACTGGAGGAATTGGAGGGGTTCATTACGGCCAGCTTCGGTTTGGTTGGGGCCGACTTCCTCTGCACACCATTGGAAGCGCATCGTGATTTGTCGCGTATATCGAGCAAGGCCCGCTATCCGCTGTCCAGGGATAGGAAACGCGAGGCGCATGCGCATCGGCCGCTGCCTTTTTCCCATCCAATGCCTAATTATAATCGCAATCGTCTTGGTGGTTGGTAGTGGTGGTGGTAAGGCTGCATCTCTCACGGCGTTCTCTCCGACTGAAGGCGGAATGCCGAGCGCGCGCCCATGGATGAAAAGCGACAACGCGACGTCCCAATATCTCTCTGTACTGCAGGCCTCCAGGGTTTGGATGTTCTCGAAGCTCTGCTGGAACGGCCCGGGAGCATGGGGGTCTCTTCTACGCTGAAGAAACGGAATTTCCTCCAATGCAGTCCGGAGCGAGAGACAGATGCTGCACGTGCAGGGCGGCTCTCAACTCAAAGTCGAGGGACATTTAGAGCATGGCCATGGGCAACACAACATGGACCAGACAAATCAAATCCCCTCTTGTCCCTCACCCCCTACCACCCAAGACGGTCCAGGAGCATACGAAGCGAGCGAGCGAGCGAGTACCGGAGCTCCGTTGGGAGGGCAATAATATTATATGCCGCCAGCAGACAGGCCGCAACGCCGCAGTGCGTCGCGCAAGATTAGCATTGGTGATTAGGCAGAGCCCCCGCGGCCTGTTAGACCGAGCGCAGACTGTTCCTCCGCGGCCGTGAGTTGCGAAACGTCAGGGTCTGACGCATCGAGTTTGAATACCGGAGTCGCAAATCCCTCCCCTGGAACACGCAGAGTGTGAGACATGCTCGCGGCGGCCAATGGGAACGGGTGCCTATCGCCGAATCGGACCACAACAGGACGGATCCAGAAGCGCCTTTTTGCACGACGGGCTTCGTCAGGCTGGCGCGCTGCTTGACTAAAACACCACCGGCGTGGAGCAGGCATAATGGTCGTTGCTGGGCCGCCCTCCGCCGCGCGGGCCGGTTCTCTGGCACAATGCGGTAACCGTGGTACTTCGGAGTCGCTGTGGAGGGAAGACCGGGTACATTTTATGCTCTCCGCGAGCACAAGTCTAGCCAGTTGGCATAGGTGGTGTTTGGTGTCAATCTGCTTTGCCGGACACAGCCAAACGAGAGAGAAGAAAAAACGCTTCTGGCTTATTTGCTTAACAATAAGAACGGCGGATGGCAGAGAGACGCGGGAAAGGCGAGGTGACAGAGGAGAGCATCGTCATAACTGCCCCTCCTTGACGGGCCGTCCAATTGGAGCTGGCTGGAGGAGGGTCTGGTCCTCTGAATGGAGCTCCACGTCCTGAGCGGTGATGTATGTGTCCCTCTTTCTGTATGCGTGTACATTCTCCGTAATCCGTACGGAAGTGCTGGAAGTGAAAGTGGGATTGGATGCCAAAGCATGAAAGATAGGTACAAGCAGTCCAGAGTAAGGTACCTACACTCTGCGTATGTACCTCTTTGTCCATGAGTAAGCTCGTCCCGCCAACAGAAAAAAGCCAATCATCTCGAGTTAGTCCAGGAGAGTCCAGGAGGGGTGACCACTGACCAGCCAAGTCAAAGCAGCAAAACAGCCCTGTCGATGGTCGAACAAGCCGTCTAGTCCCGCTTTTCTGCCCAGTCTTTGAGAGATATCCCACCCCCGAAGAAAGAATGGGAAGCGATGGAAGGGGAAAAAAAAAAGTTGCATTCGTACCGCAGCAGTAGAAGGCCAAGCTGTGAAAGCACCGGGAGGTACTTGTCGACTTCCATTGGGAACTTGGAGGAGTGGGAGTGTGCACATCTGCGCTTGTCATGGGTGGCCCCTGCACTAAGACAAACCACCCCCCTCCCCTCCTACCCCTCCGTTGACCCTCCCCCTACAAACTTCGTCCGGGTTGACGAAAGCTCCAGCTTCTCGTCTCCTTCTTGACACATTCCCTAGAGATAAATAACTCGACGCTCCCGCATATCATCAAAGATTCGCGCGTCTGAACCTCTCCTCCATCAAACAACACCCCCCACATAAACCACCGACACATCATTCATCATGTCTGGACCTGTGTAAGTAATACCTCGCTCTGCTTTCTAAACCCCTCTTCGCTTTCAAGCCAAAGAAAAATTACCCCACCACCCCGCTCCCGACCTCCGATGCCTCACGACAATGATCACGGCTGCGAATTTCCCGCATGTCGACGTCCGTCGTGATGGCTTCGGGTGCCGATGCGGTCTCGGGAGGTGCCAATGCACATGCAACATTAGCCTCAAGTCATCGCCTTCTCCTTTCTCGACGCAACAACATACTCATACTCGTAATGCAGCGCTCGTCTTGCCAACCTTGTGGCAGGCGTTGTGCCTGCTCCGAGGTCCCGCTCCGCTCTCCTTCTCCTCAAACCTGAATAAGCAACGTCCGGCTAGTGAATACTCAAGCTGACCGTCGTCACAGCGCTGATATGGGCCTCATCGGCCTGGCCGTTATGGGTCAAAAGTAAGTTCTACGAGCTTTCCATGTGAAAGAATTGATTCACTGACCTTCTCATAGCATTATCCTCAACGCCGCCGGTAATTCCGACAATCACATCCCATAGCTATATTCAAGTGGCTAATATGCTTTTCCAGACCACGGTTTCACCGTTGCCGCCTTCAACCGTACCGTCTCCAAGGTCGACCGATTCCTGGCCAACGAGGCCAAGGGCAAGTCCATCGTGGGCGCTCACTCTCTGGAGGAGTTCGTTTCAAAACTTAAGAGCCCCAAGCGAGTCATGCTTCTCGTCCAGGCTGGCAAGGCCGTCGATGACTACATTGACACCCTCATCCCCCTCCTTGAGAAGGGTGACATCATCATTGACGGTGGTAACTCTCACTTCCCCGACTCCAACCGCCGCACCAAGTACTGCGCTTCCAAGGGCATCCGCTTCGTCGGCTCCGGTGTCTCTGGTGGTGAGGAGGGTGCCCGCTACGGTCCCTCCATGATGCCCGGTGGTAACGAGGAGGCCTGGCCCCACATCAAGGACCTCTTCCAGAGCATCTCCGCTAAGAGCGACAACGAGCCTTGCTGCGACTGGGTCGGTGATGAGGGTGCCGGTCACTACGTCAAGATGGTCCACAACGGTATCGAGTACGGTGACATGCAGCTTATTTGCGAGGTATGCAGCCCCACCCGAGCTCCCCGTAGCTATAAGCCCGCAACTAACACCACAACCAGGCCTACGATATCCTGAAGCGCGGTCTCGGCCTCTCCTGCAAGGAGATTGGCGATGTCTTCGCCAAGTGGAACAAGGGCGTCTTGGACTCTTTCCTGATCGAGATTACCCGTGACATTCTCTACTACAACGATGACGATGGAACTCCCCTCGTCGAGAAGATCCTCGACCAGGCTGGTCAGAAGGGTACCGGCAAGTGGACTGCTATCAACGCCCTTGACCTCGGTATGCCCGTCACCCTCATCGCCGAGGCCGTCCTTGCCCGCTGCCTGTCCTCCATCAAGGAGGAGCGTGTCAAGGCTTCCAGCAAGCTTCAGTACGTTGGCCGCACCAACAAGTTCGAGGGCAACAAGGAGCAGTTCATCGACGACCTCGAGCAGGCTCTGTACGCCTCCAAGATCGTCTCCTACGCTCAGGGTTTCCAATTGATGAACGAGGCCGCCAAGGAGTACGGCTGGAAGCTTAACAAGCCCTCCATCGCTCTCATGTGGCGTGGTGGCTGCATTATCCGCTCCGTCTTCCTCAAGGACATCACCAACGCTTTCCGCAGCAACCCCGACCTGGAAAACCTTCTTTTCGACGACTTCTTCAACAAGGCCATCCACACTGCTCAGCCCGGCTGGAGAGACGTCGTCGCCAAGGCCGCCCTCCTCGGTATCCCGACCCCGGCCTTCTCCACCGCTCTGTCTTGGTTCGACGGTTACCGCACCAAGGACCTCCCCGCCAACCTCCTCCAGGCTCAGCGCGACTACTTCGGTAAGCTTCTTGGTACCCTAACCTCCTTTGAACATTTTGCTAATCAGAGCGTTCCTGCAGGTGCCCACACCTTCCTCGTCAAGCCCGAGTCAGCCAACGACAAGTACCCCGCTGGCCAGTACCACCACGTCAACTGGACCGGCCGCGGAGGTAACGTCTCTGCTTCTACATACAACGCTTAATGGTTTTTTGGATAGGTTAAATAGAGGGCTCACTATGAGAACTGGTATAAGGGTGCCAGGAGAATGAAATGAAATGATTACACGTAATTGAAACAAAAAAGTTCCACCACTTCTCACTCCGAACTCTTTCAACGTTAGCTTTGCCGGATGTTATGAGGTGAAGCTGTCGATTAAGAGCGTGTCTAAGCTATAACGGACAAATGTGTAAAAAGTCAAACACACAGTGTGCCGTGATGCGAGTCTCATGAGCAAGTCTGTATGACAACATGTTTTACCTTACCTATACTCCGAATTCTCCAGTATGTCATTTCTTGTAAGTGTATTTTGCGACGCCAAAGGAGTCTGGTGAATGCATTGCTTCCCCTTCTACTGGCGAAGAACTGGCTGAGAGCCGGCTGAAGGACGGAACTGGCGGCGAACACGGAGTTGCGTGCACAGTGTGGTCGGCGGTCGAACTTACGGTACCCGAAGAATTGTACCCATATGCACGGACCCTGTTGGTACCTCCATGATTGGCCATCTGTCTACAAGGGTCACTCGCGGTGCCGCAGCCTCGTCGCGACAAATTTGGGGACCGCGAACCAAGCTGCAAGCCAATCAATCCATCAACCAACCGCAGCTTCCCTAATCGTCGCGCCATCTCAATTCCTCCTGCTTCTTTATCGACTGCTCTCCTCACAAACAATCACAGCCTGAAGAGACAATCGGTTGCTCTGCTCGACGAAAGCTGTGCGTCAGCATCCGCCTCAACCCCATCGCATCGTAAATCCCACGTCGCGATCCACCATGGCGCAAGACCCAAGTGACGGTATCGACCAGGAGCTGGTAGGTCACCGCAGCCAGCATCATATTAGGTATCGAAGAAGAAACAAACTTATCGCTAACCATCTCATAGCTGAGCCATGCTCATCTCATCTCCGCCAATCACTATGCCGACCAGGCACGCGTCGACCTGAACCAAGTAACGAAATGGTTAATGGCGGCACCCCAAGTCGCGAAAGACAAAGCTCCCTTCTTCTGGACCTACCTCGATCGGCCCCGCGACGGCCAGGTCTACCTTACATGGCAACCTCTCAAGAGGCTCGGAACGAACTTTGCCAGCGACGGAATGATCTGTGGCCCCGAGCAATACCATAGACAGGATGTTGGAAATGGATTGGTAGGCATCTTGTCGCATTGTCGAAGAAATAATCTGACTTCATCATCAGTCTCTCGAAATCCACTTCGTCAAGTCGGCATTCATTCCTGGCGAGCAGGTCGCCATGCACGCTCGTCGCAGATTCCGCCTCGTACCCTCGCAGACCGGAGTAATGAACGCGCCCCAGCCAGACATTAGTCTCTGGATCGTTCACTATGGCCCTTCCGACCCCTCCGATCGCGTCCCTGTCAACCTGATCCCCGTGTCACAAGAGACCCAGCACATCATGGGGACTCGCAATCACCTCCAGAAGTGTGGTCAGATAGCACGAAAGGACTTTATGCTTTCCGATCGCGCCAGTTGGCCTTCGATTCAGTTCCCGCGTAATGGCGGACGGCCTCAGATGTACAACCCGCCAGCGCAGTCGCGGCGCGTACCGCAGCAGATGGCCTATCCCCCGGCGGGTCCCCAGGGACGTCGTGGCCGTCAACAAGCACAGGCGCAGGCGCAAGCCCAGCAGCAACAACAAGCTTTGGCTCACGCCGAGGCTCTGCATGACGACGAAGAACTCGAGAAGGATCTCTTTGACCATCTTACCCCAAGAGACATTTCTTTCGCACGGTACCAGCAAAACCACGAGTGGATGGAGGAGATTGTGTCTTCGCCCTACGGCCTCAGCCAGATTGCGCCCCCTGATCTCGGACTTGGCCTCAAGGGAGAGCTGGCACCTTTGACTGACGGCATCTTCTCAGCACAGAGTGCAAATGCACTTACTGAGCCGCCTCAGAAGCCATACATCGGACGGTTAGAGCCCGGCCTGGCTGATGAGTTCAGAAAACGGGTCCAGGAGCACCTCGACGCTACCAAGGCTGAGATGGAGAAGATGAAGGCGGAGCACGCAAGGAACCTGGCAAGCCTTAAGGCGAGCTCGGTATTCGTTGATGCGGAGAAGGACGTCAAAAAGTCTGTTCAGGAGCGCGGACCAGAGCCGTGGCGTCTGGAGGGTTACTCCACCGATGCGGACGACAACTCCGGCCCGTGGTCACAGAAGCACAACAAGAAGGTGGACGAGATTGTGGCTCAGGTTGAGGCCAACCTGGGCCGGCACATCGAGGTCCTTCACAATGTGCACCGCATACAAGATGGCGGTTTCCAGGAGCCCGCCCCTGAACCTGTCAAGGAGCCTTCACCAGTCCCGCCGCCGGCGAGCTCACCTCCCGCCCCAGCGGCTGGTGCCGACGCGAATGCCTCGGGATCACGGCGGCCGTCTCAGGCTGGCTCTAACCACAGCGGCGTGATGGTGGGCGACTCAGATATCGATATGGGAGGCACGGCAGCAGGACTACTCGACGAGATGCACACTGGGTTCTCTGCCAACTCGACTCCTCTGAATAACTTCCCTACACCGCAAACACACGTGTCCGCATTGAACTCAAACGCAGGTACGCCGGCCAACGCAAATGTGCAGTCGCCCGCACCGGTTCCCCCCACTATTCAGGAGGAGACCGAGGCGCAGACTTCCACCGGCGCTCCTGCTGCCACGGGAGAGGATGTCACAATGGGCAACACAGAGTCCTCCAAGGATGCCTCTGCCACCGCGCCTGATCAAGGAACCGGCAGCGGTGATTGGGTCGTCGTTCCTAAGGGAGGAGCAACGCCCGATCCCTCCGCCGGAGCCGCTGCTCCCGCCACTGCAGCTGAGGGTGACGCTGCCAAGCCTGCCGTCAAGCCCCCGTCTGCTGCGGGAACACCAGCAGATACGCAGACTCCCGGCGGCTTCAGCTCGCTTGGTGACCTGGACTCGGCCGGCGACGCCCTGGCCGGCTACGGCGGGTCTATGGGCGATGGTCTGGACATGAACATGGAGATGGAGGACTCTGCGTTTGGTGATGCCTTCCACGGTGTGTCCAACACCAACACGCCTGGGAACCAGTCTGAGGGCGGGGCTTAGGGGCATGTTGACCCGCATTTCGATTGGGATACCAAGTATTAGTGAGAGACTGGTGACTCGAAATGAGGGCAGTGTATGTTTAATGCGGCAAGGTGGCTCGGTCAACCTGGTTGGGACCACTTTTAGAGTATTATTTGGGATTGGTGATAAGAGGGCTTAAGGCTTGTATGGTATTACAATTCACACGGATGGTTAAAGAATGGAATGAATTCAGTCTAAGGTAGCTCAGACTTCACGCTTCACCACTATCTGTGATCAAAGGCCGCTACATGTTAGCCTAGTGCCGTGAGGTCACACTTCTGAGGCTGGGGGTTGAAGAAGGTCTCGGGGGAGAGCGTTGGGCAAATATCAAGTCATCTGCGAGGTGGACTGACATCTTCACGTAATAACGTATATGATCTCTCCACCCGAAAGCCACAGCGCCGTCGCATGTTTACATGGTTCAGCCTCCAGGATCTACAATACCGAGCTAAAGATTTGCTTAAACCAGCATTTCCACTACCAAGATCACTGCAACCCGGCATTGTGTGATGGGCTTAATGGTGAGAATGGATACCTACCATTGAAGGCTTTAAGAATATCCTTTAGGAGCTGGGATATGCTTGTAGAAACAACAGTGTGTTATCCTCCCATGGGAGGAGATAATTGGTTAAGCTCAAATGGTGTAACCAGACTTTTGACCATGTACCGGTATTGTAGGTGACCAATGGCCAAGGCGACAAGGCCTTATGCCTTCGACTCTTGGAGTCCACAGGCTGAACAGCGTCAAACACGGAGAAGGAATGGTGATACATGGCGGTTCATCCCACAGCAAGCCCGGATTACGTTGACAGGGGCCGTGACCAATGCGCTCCTGTTAGGGGATAAGCGGGATAGACGGGCAAGATACCTAACACGGCCCCACCGTCTCCGCGTCGCACCGGGCGGGAGGTTTTAGGTTTGATCGGCGCCAGGTACAGACGTCTCAGCCGCAGGCTTTACACAAAGCCCCCCTTCCCATGTCATCCCGACTTTTTTCAACCTCCCTCTTCCCTCGAAGGTTCGAACGACAAGGCCCTTGTTTTTCCCGGCCGCTCATCACTATTGGAGATTGGACGAAAACACACAGCAAAGTGCTTGCTGCCCATGGCTTGGGTTCACTGGCTCAATATGGGCAATATGGGGCATAGTAGGGAGGTGTTGTCTGAAGTTTTGCTGGGCTTGGCCCCTGTACCCTTCCCTTCACACGAGCTTAAGTGCCTGTCGTTAAGACGAAAGCTTTCTCACGAGCTATGAAGCAACTCTACGAGCTTGACTTCTGTGGTCTTGATGGTCGTAACACGGGGTTTACGCTTGAATTTCTGCGTAATGCGCCACACTCAAGCAAGTGACTAGTGAGAAAAACAAAAAGAGGGATGCCCAGCTGGAAATCGGCAGAAAGATGAAGCAAGGCCCAGGATCGCGAAACCACCCTTGGCCACTTACGAGATCCTCTCCCGCCATCCCGCCATCACCGCCCCTCCTTCCACCACACTTTTACCGCCGAGGTCCTTACCAAGTGGCTCAGTGTCGCTCTCGCAAATGTTTCTTGTGCCATCTGGGCAGCCATTGTAGTTCTTGGCCAAAAGCCCACTCCATCGAATGGGACCGAGGGGTTTTCAACTTTGTGGTCCCCCCGTCGTACCGAGTCTCGGCCGATGAGACGTGGACCATGGTCGAAAATCCCCCCCTGCCCAGCCTTTTTCTCCTTAAGCTTAGGATGACGTTCTGGGGAACTGGTGCGGTTTGCCCACGAGGCCCCCTGTCGCCAGGAGTTGTTGGACTTACACGCCGTCGAGAGAGAGAGATCCATCCCATCAAATCTCTTCCCCCAACCTGGGAAGCGAGGATCTCGAAGTGGCTCCCCCCTTCTTTTGCTTCCCCTTCCCTTCTTTCTTCCTACACTGGATCTTCGTTTCTTCATTCACTTCTTGTTACACTGTTTTCGAGTTGCGTTTCTTCGATTCTGGTTGCTAACTCTTGTTCACTTTTTCTTTGAACGCCCTTCTTTTTTCCAACCTATCCTGCAGGTCAGCTTCACTTCAAGCATTCCATTCGTTTTTTTTTACATGCCCGCCCCTTCGAATTCTTCGATACCCGAGCCCCAGTTGGCCGAATTCTTTTCTCTCTAATCCAAAAGTTTTTACGAAATCCTCAATAACGTGGTTGCTTATCTTGGGTGAAACTCGGTACGCTTTTTGTACTCGACACAAAACATCTGAAGGAAACAACAAGAAAACAAAGATGCGGTTTACAACGTCATTGAGACTTTGGGTCGGTGCTGCTGCCGTGTCTGTATGCAACGCGCAGATCTCGAAGCCGAGAGCCGGGGATGTGTTGATGCCAAATCAGCAGTTCGAGGTTGAGTGGCAGACGGCGGGCTTACAGGCCCCCGTCAACATTGATCTGGTTCCCAGTGGCAAGACGGACTTGTCAATCATTGCGGAGAAGATTGCAGGTAAAGATCTCTGAGCGAATTTGAAATATCAAGTGGGATCTTGGTTTGTTAACCAAAAATGTCTTGCAGTGCAAGTCGACAACGTCGGCCGTCTGAACTGGAACCCCAGCATCTCCATCACGGCCTTTGAGAGCTTCGCCATCGTCATTACGGACTCCGCTCAGGCCGTCGTCGTCTCCGAGTCGTTCCAGATCACCCAGCTTACGCAGCAGCCCGTCATCCAGACCATTCCCGGGGCGGATCCGGCGCAGGTGGAGATCCTCACCGCGGCTGCTGGGCCTCCCAAGGTTGTGTACTCTGGCGCCTTGCCGGCCGATGCGATCCCGGCCGGCGTCGCTGCCGCGGAGGCTACCCCCACCGGGGCCGCTCTTGTTCAGCCTAATGCGTCAAAGAACCGTATCTCGAACGGCACTGCGCCTGGAGTCTCCCCTTCTAGACAGGGGAGCGGCAGGTCCAAGAAGGAGCCCGCGACCCCCGATGAGGAAGCCGTGCCTCGCAACTCCTCGAAACCGCTCACGAGCATCGCCGAGAAGAACCAGGCCCCCGAGGCCACTCCCACGCCGATATATTCGACTATCCAGTCTGCCCCTTCTGCGCCCGCGTCGTTCCCGACATTGTCAGCAACCAAGAATCAGACTGGCCTGCCGGGCGGTGGTGGTGGTGGTGCCGAGGTCACGCCCACGCCGATATACTCCACGATCCCGGACTCGGGTCCGGCTTTCCCGAGCCTCTCGGCCACCAAGAACCAGACGGCGCCCGCGAACGCTGAGGTCACTCCTACCCCTATCTACTCCACGTTGCCCGAAACACCCTCAAAGTTCCCGACCCTCGCGCCCACCAACAACCAGACGGCTCCGAGCGCCGAGGTGAGTTTTCCCCTGACTAATTCCCCAAGTATAGCACATACTAATAACAGATCCAACAGCCGGCCAAAAGCAAAGCACCTGCTGCCACTCAACCAGCAGTAGAAGTCCCAGCCAACCGCACCAGCATCGCGCCAGAAGCGCCAACCACGCCCTCTCTACCGATCGTAACTCTCCCGGTTCCCAAGAACAGCACCGCGTCCCCCTTGCCCCCAGCCGCAAGCGAGCCCCCTGTCCTCCCGAGCGCCGCAAACCCAGCAGCAAACAGCAGCGCCACCCCAACCGGCCTGCCCGCTCTCCCCGTCACCGAACCCGCCGCCGTAGCTCCCGTACCAATCGCTGCCCCGTCGCCTTCGAACCCTCCAAGCAACGGCACGGCTGTGACGAAGCCCCAGCCCCAGACCTCTGACCCGCCAGCGGCGGCGCCAGCCGTCAGCTCGAGCGGTGCGTTGCCTTACAAAGGTACTCTACCTGCGGACGGCGGCGCGGCCAAATCCGATGTCCCTGCGTCGACAACTGGTGGCCCTACCGGTACAGCTAGCGGGGGTTCGGTGACGCCTGTGCCTAGTATCACCGCTGGTGGCGGCAAGGAAAGCGAAAAGGGGGGCGACAAGAGCGGAGGCGAGAGCGGCGGTTCCGGCAGTGGTTCAGAAAAGGGGTCAGGTGAAGACTCCGACACCGAGTCCGATAGTGAGTCCGGCTCTGGCTCTGGCAGCAGCGGCAGCGGTAGTAGCAGCGGCACGGGAGTCAAGCAACCCAGCACGGTCGTCTCCTCCACGGCAGCCATCGTCCCTACGCCCCAACCTCAACTTGGCGTCGGCATCGGCGCGACGCCCGTCGTGCAGATTGGTCCTAGCATTACGTTGCCGTCATCCCTCTGGACGTCCATGATCCTCGAGACGGCGGCCGGGTTCGCGGCGCCGAGTGGCGGGTCTTTTGCGGTGGCAACATCTCCTGCTTTGCTTACGGTACCTAATGCGGGGTGTAGGACGATGCAAGGGGGTGGGTATGTTGCTGCTGTTTTGGGTGCTGTGACGGCGCTTTTGGTTGTTGTGATGTAGGAGATGGGAGGACGTTGAATAGAGGAATTGGGGGACGGGGTGAAGGAGTTGAGGTTGAAGAAGTTGGATTGGGCGTTGGCCAATGGATGGACTTTGACTTTCAAGATTCCCTGTTATGGACTTTGTATGATACAGCTTTAGACGATTTCAGAAGTTAGTGTATGGTCCAGCCAGTTTGGCCTGATTCTCCTCAAGTCAAGCTCATGGCCATGCCAAAAGGGTCCAATATCGGAGAAGCTATATTTTCTCTATTACTTATATAGCGAATCAATAGGCCTGGTAATCTTGTTGGGTGACTGCTACTTGATATGGCAAAGCTATTTCTATTAAAGGACTAAGAGGGGCCGGGTCAGCAGTGAATTTGCACAACATATCACCCCCTCTCACTATCCCTCAACGCAGTGCTGGAGAATTAAAGATTCTACGGTAACTTCTCTAGGCGATGTTGACTGTGCCCCGGGAAAGTTGTAAATATTTGGTCTCAGATAAGAATGCATACCTAGGTAGGTGGATACTTGGATACCTTTTGAGCACAATTGCCACTCTCCGGGGAAGAAAGCTCTACAGAATACCAAGCGCCAGGTTAGACTATCTATCATAAGATCCGCACGAAGTAGATAAAGTCACGCGATAGGTACCCTCCTGCCCGCTAAGGTAGATTACGTATCGGGCATAGACGTTAAAGGGGTACTAGAAAGAAAGCAGGTTTACTAGGATACAACCGCTCTTTCCTTCCTCTCTAGAAGGAAACAATCAAAGACATATAAACCACGTGAAGCAAAAAGAGTTCACCCCCCCCGGTGCTGAACTGGGGGCTACATCTCTGGCGCTCATGCTGGGATTCGAACTCGGGTACTTCGCTAAGCCTGTCGTCGAGTAGGCTGGTTGGCGTTTTTAATTGTTGACCATGAACCACTCCACCACCCAGCCAGTTTGACCCGACCCGTCGACCTAGACGGGCGCCTCCTGGCTGGTGACGGGAATGGATTTGAGGGGGGGTATAAAGGCTTCCTCTCGATGGTGCCTGTGTCACGTGCAGGCACCTTTTTCATCTTACCTCGGAGTAAGTAAGGCGGGCGAGGGACTACTGAAGGTGAATCACCCACGGCCATCAAGGTGCCCAGCCCCGTGTGGTGCGTTTGCCCGAATGAGACTTGAGATAAGCTAGTGTGTAATGCTAGGTTCCATGGCTCTTTCTTGATTTTATATATGGGAGTAATGAGAATCAAGGTTAACGATATATGAACAGTCGTATCATAACCATAATTGGCTCCTACTTCAACCCTAGACGAGAAAGTAAGACAGGCCTACCTACCGCAATAGATATGATCTAGATCTTACCATGTTCTGGGTGAATAATGAGGTCTTATTGGGCGGACACCCACTATGATGATCGAATCACACTGACAGGTATATGGCCGGACAGTGACATCTCACTTGGGATGGCTTGTGAGCGTGATTTCCTGCTGTTATTGAGATGTTAAGCCTGGCAGAGTCTCAGGGCTACCTAGTTATACTCGATTTATGGCTGAACAGACCTTGATCCCCATAATAGAGAGGCGGTTGTTCTTTATGTTGACACAGCAGCGGAATGTGTGAGCGATAAGCACCTGGAAGCTTAGATAAATCATCTCATAGGAGTCGAGCGAAGGCATAATTACTAAACCCATGAGAGTCGAGCCCCTTCTTCCTCAGCCGCATGAAAATCCAGCCAAATCATCTACATCTAGATCCCAGGAGGAATGAAGCGCTGTATTTAGAGGGTATATCACAAGGAATTATGCTGTCTACCTTGAATGATTCCATTGTTATTGACGGTAACGTAAGGACGAACGAGCCTTAACTAAGGTACCTGAAAGTATTCGCTCCGTTTGAAATCGCCCCCGTATCTCATGTTCTCATGCCTTGAAATGCGTCAACTTTTGTGTGTCGGGCCTGTGTCTTGCAAACAATGATTACTCTGGCCATGCCAAATCTCTGAGCCTGGAGTAGCAGTATCTTGGATCAAAGATATTTTCGATCAGTTTCCCAAGTGCCTCCTCCCAATCATGTTTCTCAAATCGGGAAAATATGGAGCCCTTCAAACGATGGCTGGCTGGCGAACGACTTGATCGCACCAACTTCTGTATCGTCGCCCAATCCAAAAGCCATTTAAGATCTGGAATTCAAGTGGCCAGGCGATGATGTAAGTCAAATGTGAATGGGTATGTAAAGACAACGAGAATCGTCACGTCTTACACGGTGAGAACCGGGCAGGCGTGAATATGCAGTGTGTTGTTGATGAATAGGCGGTTTACGCAGCGGCCTCAGCACTGGCCTTGATGCTGTACGGGCCAAAGAATTCGGGATCGTTGGAGAGTTCCTCCTTGACCTAGGAAAGGGATAGTGTTAGCGTCTGTGAGTTGGCCACGGTGTTGAGACTTTTTGACTTACGATATCAAGACCACCAACTAGTTCACCATCAACCCAGAGCTGAGGGTAGGTCGGCCACTCGGCATACTCCTTCAGACCCTGTCGTACCTCATCATCTGCCAAGATGTTGAAGAAACCGTACTTGACCGAGTGCTCTCTCAAGATGGCAACAAGCTGTCTTGAAAAGCCGCACTGGGGCGAGCTAGGGGTGCCCTTCATGAAGAGCATGACTGGCGCAGCCTTGACAAGGTCCGCCAGGCGCTTGAACAACTCCTCCTTGGCCTTGGCCGGGTCGACGGGCTCGTCCACCTGCATCGCGCTGGGGCCATTCTCGACGCCCTGGTTGCCGTTTACCGTCCCGGCGGCACCGGTGGGCTTCTTTGCGTGTGTCTCGATCGCGTTGCGGACCTTGACAGCGCTGCTACCGCTGACGGTCTCGAGGACTTGGCCGTTGCGCAGGAGAACGAGGAAGGGGACGGCGGTGACGTTGTATGTCTCGCTAATGTCGCTGAGCTCTTCGGCGTTTATGGAAACCCAGGATGTCTGCGGGGGGCTGGTGACGGGGTATTCGGAGGCAAGGGTCGAGAGGACGGTAGCCATCTGGGCGCATGGGGCGGCCCATGGCGCATGGAAGGAGATGATGTGGAGGGTGGAAGGCGGGGTGGAGGCAATGTGCTTCTCCCAGTCGGCAAGGCTGGTGATCTCCGTGATCGTCGACATTGTGCTTTTTGGCGGATCGCGAACTCTTGGGATGGTCGGATGTTGGAGGTGATGCGTCGAGGGTTTATTTGGGGTCAATCGAATAGAAGAGACCGCAAGAGGGAGTCGCGTGGAGTCGTATAGTCTTGTGGAACGCACTCAAGAGGAGGAACGGACTTGGTCGGACGTTGAATCGCGGAATGACAAGTCCAACGGCTGATAAACCACGGGTCTCCGATACGTCGGGTGGAGGGGTATTATTTGGAGGGGCAAGTCGTGATTTTTCGGGGTGGCTGCGATTATGTTGGGTATAGCGATCTCCGCGGGCAGGAGATGGGATTGCTGCATGGGTTGATGACTGTAGGTGAGAAAGTCTCGAGTTGCGTCATCTGTCGCGATATTTACGTGGTATAATTACATATGTGAAGAATCCTACTCGGCGGGGACCACACGGGGGCATGCCCAAGCTGCCCCACCAGAGCAGCGCAGAGGCCCGAAGCGGAGAGCGAAAGCGGCAAGCACCTTCGGAGCACAGTGTGTCACTGTACTCCATACCTGGTAAGGTTGGTATTCTGTCTTCCCTGGCCCGCCCTCGTTCCTCCTCTCCCCTCCCGTCCCCCTCCCAGGCTCCCACCTCAGTCAGTTAGGTACCTTAGCTGCCCAGCCTGCCCCGCCTCGACACCTGGCCAGCGCTGAACAACGCTGAGCTGCGTAACCGACCGTCCGCGTATTGGATGCTGGCGGGACCGTGCTTCACCTCCAAGTTCTAGTTCCACCTGTGCTGCGCCTCTCCAACTCTCGGCTGTCCACGACTTTCTGCAATAGAAGAGAGGGCTGGTTTGCTACGTCAGCTTCTTGCCCGTCAGACATAGGCGACTCTCCGACGGAGACCTTTACGACCAAGCATCTTCCACCCTACTATTATACCTCTTTTCCCCCTCACCAATCCCCCTCATCTACTGACGACTCAACGATCGACGACCACTGCTAGTCGAGCTTACTGCCCAAACTCGCAATGGCGTCACTCAATCTGTCCATCAACGGACCCTCGATCAAGAGCAGCTACCAGGGAGTCATCAACGGCCCGCCCCCAAACTCGAGCTCCCCAACATACGCTCAATGGGCCTTGTTCTCAGTTCAGGCACCTTTGGCCAATGCTTTCCAGGACAGCGGCAACAAGGAGAGTGTGCTGAAGGTCCAGAGCACTGGTGGTAAGTTCCCCCGCTCTTTCGCCCGAGCTCCCGACCTCGCTCGGGGGAAGACAATGCGCTGACATGTGTCCTTTCCCATGTAGATGGCGAGCTCTCCGAGCTCATCGAAGACTTCAACGAGGGCCGTATCCAGTTCGCTTTTGTCAAGGTCAAGGACCCCAACTCTGGCCTCCCCAAGCACGCTCTGATTGCTTGGTGCGGAGGCGGTGTCCCTGAAAGAACCAAGGGCTACTTCACCACCCATACGGCCGCCGTTTCCAAGATCCTCCACGGTTACCACGTCCAGATTACCGCTCGTTCAGACAGCGACCTCGAGCCAGAGAGCGTCATGCGCAAGATTGCCGATGCCTCCGGTGCCAAGTACTCAGCAGGCGGCTCCACGTCTTCCGCTGCCCCACCTCCGGTTGCCTCTAAGCCCGTCTTCACACCTACCACATCATCAAGCGGCGTCAACCCCATCGTTGCCGCGCGAAACCGCAAGCCCGCAGGCGTCGACGAGGATGGCTGGGGAGACGATGCGCCTCAGGTGACTCGCTCTCAGCTGGAGAAGGTCGAATCTGCGTATAAGCCCACCAAGGTCAACATGGCAGAGCTCACGAAGCAACGACAAGAACCCTCCGGCTTCAACGGAAACGGCTCCCAAGACAAGCCTGATGTCGTGAGGGGCGCATACCAGCCCGTTGGAAAGGTGGACATTGCTGCGATTCGTGCCGCGGCAAAGAACCAGCAGGACGACAGGCCAGCCCCGGTCAAGGGTGCGTACGAACCCATCGGCAAGGTCGACATTGCAGCGATTCGCGCCAAGGCACAGAAGCCCTCAGAGGCTGCGGCACAGGAGCCTGAGGAAGACGAGCGACCCAAGTCGCTGGCTGAGCGAAGTGCCGCATTCAACCAGTCAGAACGCTTGACGTCCCTGCCGAAGCCCAAGGTCGCCAACAAGTTTGGCGGTGCGGCCGCTTTCACCGGCACCAAGGCCCCCGCGCCTGGTGGTCTTGGTTTCGGCGCACCTGCCGCCCCGGCGCCCCCGCCAGTGGGTGCCGCAAGCCGCACATTTGCCGACCAAGGCGGCAAGACGCCAGCTCAGCTTTGGGCCGAGAAGAAGGGAAAACAGGGCGGATCCGTTTCCAACGTTGTCTCGCCTCCTGTCACTTCTCCGATTGGCGTTCAGTCGACCGGAGAATGGAAGAGCGGCTACTCTGGCAAGTCATGGGGACCCGTCAAGATGCCCGAGTACGGCAAGGGCTCCATCAGCCAGGAGAACACCGGCGAGGATGCGCAGCGAAGTGTCGAGACGCCTGCCTCTCCTAGTGGCGGCATAGGTGCTCTCAAGGAGCGCTTCACCGGCGGAGCCCCGCCCATTCCCCGCGAACCGCAGCAACAGCAGCAGCAAGAATACGATGAGCCGTCTCCTCCTCCTCCGCCTAGCGGTTCCCGCCCTCCCCCGGCCGGTGGATTCGCTCTGCCCGGTCTGCCTTCCAGGCCGGCCCCTGAAGAGGAGGAGGAGGAGGAACCTCAGTCTCCCATCAGAGTTGCGCAGCCCGTATCTCGCGGACCCCAGGTCGAGATGGAGGCGCCCGAGGAGAGGGAACCTCCCCGCCCTATCCCTACTCAGCAAGAGCTGCCTAGGGAGGAGGATCTCCCGGAAGACAACGATGCCGGCCGTGGCGCTGCCGCAGCTGTCGCAGAGCAGCAATTTGGTCAGGAGCAGGTAGCGGCAGGTCAAGCAGACAGCGGCGGCAAGCGTGCTGTGATCCAGTATGACTACGAGAAGGCGGAAGACAACGAGCTTGAGCTTCGCGAGGGCGAGTATGTCACAAACATTGAGATGGTGGACGAGGACTGGTGGATGGGTACCAACTCCCGCGGCGAGAGCGGTTTGTTCCCCAGCAACTACGTTGAGCTTGTCGAGGATGAGCCTGAACTGGCGCCGGCGGCACGAAGCGCCCCTCCTCCCGCACCGGCTCAAGCGGAGCCTGAACCGGCAGCTGCCGGTGGCGGCCAAACAGCCACCGCGCAGTTCGACTACGAGGCTGCTGAGGACAATGGTAAGAAGAGCGCACCTACACAATCTTTTGACGTGACAATGCTAACGTTCTTTCTCTAGAACTTTCGTTCCCCGAGAATGCAACGATCAAGGACCTCGAGTTCCCTGACGAGGATTGGTGGTTCGGTTCCTACGGTGGCAAGCAGGGTCTCTTCCCTGCCAACTATGTCCAGCTGGACAACTAGGGATGAGTTGATGGATAGCGGTTAGAAAAAGTCTCCATGACGGCCAGCGATGAATCACGCCCTGGGCCTCCCAACCAAGAACAGTCTTGAGTTGTGAGGTGCTTCAGCTGCGTTTGATAGGAATAAAAATATCGGTGTTATTGTCCTAACTTTGGGTTGACGGGAAGTTTGCGTGTCTCTGTTCTTTCTCCATTGCCATTCATATGCTGAGTAGATGTAGATATCTTCTCACGCTGTGGATGGTACTATCAACTGGAACATTGGATTTTTTCCCCTCTGCACCTGCTTTATATCACGTTCATCACAAGTTCCAAGACTCATGGTTTTGAGATATAGGGGTGGTTTTTGTCCGACTTTATAGGCGCAAAAGATCGAGCTTAGCGGGATCTGGCTCCCAAGGGAAAAATCATACGATAGGGGTACACATAATATTGAATGAGGTATATATAAATTCATTTTCCAAAGAGACGGCTAAGAAAAGGAAGTCATTACGGCGCATACAACAATGCGCCCACCGACAAATAGATTCAATCAGATTCGACAGGTAGATCGAGGGAAGAAAAAGAAAAAAGCGCCATGAACGCCCGTGGGGAAAAAGTAATCAACGAGGTCGCTGAACCCATCTTGAACGCTTCGTTCCTCCCTCCCACCCCCAAAAGAGTTTCCCGTTTCCCTCCAATCGATTCGTCCCTATAACCATCCCAACTTCATTTCGTCGTCGTCTCAGGTTTCGATTTTTTTGTTTTTGCGAGTTTGCTCGCCCGATTCAGCCGTGCGAGAGGTCGCAAAAAAAGTAAAGGCGTCGATTTCCAACAATTCCCTCCTCTTGCTCGGTTGCCTTCGTCGTCAAGGGGAGAAAAAAAAAAGCTTGGGCGCCTGCCAGACGCGGTTTGTTGGGAGCCAATTACAAGTATTTTTTTCTTTTCTTCGAGGTGAGGTGTTTGCCGTGATCCCGTCGGGTTCCCCACTTTCTTTTGAACGGAAAACCACAGACCGTACTTTTGACACGCCGAGGATGTCAGATTTTTTTTGCTGAATCCCGCAAGTGAAAATGAAAAGAGAGAACATCTCTCACTCTAGCTCTGCTTTTGTTGAGATGAGCTGGAAGTGAAGAATAGACAGGTTTTCTCGATTCATTTAGCAAACGTCGAAACAGCACTCGCAACTGGGGGGGGATTATGTTAGCCTCCGTATATGATGAGGATGAATGAGATAGGGATAAGGAAAAACTCACCATTCTGCGCAGCATTCGCACGTCTCGTCAATGACGCAGCAACAGCACAGAGCGGCGAGACAGGCCGTCAAGCAGTTTCCACCGCCCTGCTTCTTCTGCCGGGGCGCCTGCATGGGAGGCTGTTGCTGGTACTGCATGGGCGGCTGGCCGCCTTGGGGATAGTAGCCGCCCTGCTGCTGGTAGCCTCCTTGAGGGGGACCGTAGGCCTGGTTGGAGATGTTAGTGATTGTTCCGCCTTTCAAATTCATGATTGTGAGTAAGGTAGAGGACCCGGCGCATGTGATCGAGATGAGGCACCGGAATGCGCCAACACTAAAGAACTGTCTGGGCGTGGGGAATGGGAGTGAGGTGAGTGCTTACAGCTTGGGGGTGCTGAGGGTAACCGCCTTGAGGAGGGCCATAGTTTTGGTTGTTGTAGTTGCCACCCTGGTTGTAGTAGTCGTTGCTGGCCATCTTGTATGTATGTGTGTACTTGTTTTATATGTGTGAAACAATGAAGCTATTCTGAGGGCCGATTGATGAGGAGAATCTGATGGGAAAGACAGATAGAGGCGAACTGGTGGATAAGAGTGAGTGTGAGTGTGTGTGTGAGATGAAAGAATTCCGAGACGGCAGCGGTAGAAGAAGGGCGGAAACGTGTGTCGATAAAAAGGGCCCCCCATCTATCTGTACCTTATGGAGTAAGGCAAGGTAATAAGGCAGTGAAAGAAGTGAGTGGCCCAGTGACAGGTTCGAGAAGATCCCTGCTCTGCATCGAAAGTGACGGGCTGGGCGATGCTGCCCGGTGGCTCCCCTCCCCCTCCCCCCGTCCCACCTGGCAGTCACAGTGGAGGTGTAAGGTACGACGCATCAGCCCAGTACTTTTCAGTCTAAGCATTTTAGTTTCCATAGGTATGTAGGGTAGTGTACCTTAGGTATCCCGTCGTCGGATGGGTAATTTGGTACCCTTACCCAGCTGCCAATGGCCACTGCCAGCATGCAGATTGAGGTGCCTTGCGCAGTGTGCATTTTCTTTTTTTGCTGTGCTGAGGTCGCAGGTACGCCATTCGGAGAGAGCGACGAGCTGCGGGGCCGAGAAATCGAAGCTTTTTTTCTTTTTTCTTTCCCCAATCCCAATCCCAAGACAGTGCCCCCCCCCCCCCCCGAGACAGCTGCGCATGCCGTAAAGTAAAGTGGTAGCACTCCACTGGGACCGAATGAGCGAAAGAACCCCGATTTACCACCACGGCACGTTTTCAGGCGGGGCGGGGAGGGGGGAGAAGGGCCACGAAATACAACCGGCCAAGGCCCGATGAGCGCGATAGATTGAGGTACCCGCGAGTAATCCCGAACCAAACTAACCACTAGCTACGGGGCCCCCGTGTCCAATAATGGAAACTTTGCAGTGCTTTCGGAAGGGATCTTTTTCTTTTCTTTTTTTCTCTTCACGACTGCACTGCACAGCACTCTTCCACGGTAGAGACTCGCTCCAGACCCGGCATGGCTGAAGGTGATGACTGTTCCTTGCAGACCTGACCCCAAAGCGCAGCGCAGCAAGGACACCCCCCCCCCCTCAGGCTTAGCCAGCGAGCCGACAACGCCAGCGCCCCAGCCACAACTTGGGGAAAGGTGGATACCCTTGATTGGCCGGATGCGTGTCCCCGGTGGCGGGATGGTGATGCGTCCTCTCTCTTGTCTTTTTTGCCATTGATGATGTTGCAAATCTTTGACGCCGACTTGTCCTCATGACCACATTGTCTTTTCCCTTCGAGGGGAGCAGCTCGTGGGCGGCGGGCCGTCCATCATTGCTTTACCATGCCTTACCTACCTTACCCAAAGGCGGTCCGTCCCAATTTCCATCCATAGCTTTTCGCCTCGGGCGCGGTTGCATAGATGGACCGTCACTCGGTATATGCCGCAGCATTGAAACGCCATGATGACAGATTCACCCTCGACGAGAATTTGGATTCCGAGGTTCGCGTTCGTTGTGTGCTAACACGAATGAGGGCCACCTTCGTTTGGGTCATAGTTCCAGGTAGTTGCGTAAGGTAGTGTAGTGTAGGTCATTAGTCGCTGCCAAAGTGGCTAGGACAGCTGGACTCGTCTTCGCGCTTGACTTTCGCTGCCTCCCACCTGTGATATGCATCTCCGAGGGCGCTTGCGTCGCATGGCGAAGAAAGGGAAAGAAGTGACGACGGCCTGGGAAAGGAGAGTCTTGTAACTTCCAAGGTCGGTCGCACACGAATGTAGTCATGCGACTGAGGTCCCCTTTTCTCTAGCGAGACATTTCTGACGTACTTTCTATGTCGCCCGTCCCGGCTGACCTGCCCTTCTCACGCGGACCCGTAGAGACATTTTCTTTTACTACTGCAGACTACCGGTATCAATACTCGAATACCTACTAAGACAGCCCAACACGAAAAATACCTACGCAAGCACCGAAAGCTGGCGAACCAGGAGCACCTTAATGACATCCCAAATCCAAAACGTCAGGTGTCACTGTTTTAGAATTCTCGTCAGATTGATGGGAATCTCTTGGAAAACCTCCACTTTGCTTAATGGCATCGAGATGCTAGATGGATCCAGTACCCGCATGAACGTGACGAACGAATCCACCCGCCAACATTGGCGCGAGTTAGATCCCTTCAGTTCCCACTTGCGCAGCAGCGGCACCAGACCCCAACAGAATGAAGAGAGGAACAGCACACTGCATCTAAGCCTCTTTGCTTGCCGCTGCGTCTGCTGTATTCGTACCTATCCTATGCTGTGCAGCAGGAGACAGCATGCACGAGACTCAGCCACTAAAGCATTCAGTGATTCCATCTAATCAATCCATAGAGAGAAAGAAAAAGCAAAAAAAAACCATGCCGAGCATCCGCAATTCCTCTTCCCATTGGCCGGAAGTACACCTCACAGATCTCTAACACTCACGAACGGTTACCACAGACGCACACCAATCAAACAATCACATGAGCTGCCAGATCTTAACCTTTCGACAGCCACAGCCACCTATCAGAGACGATGCCAGGAGAACGTCAATGCCAAGCCAAAGGGGTCCAGCCGCCCGGGGCGCGCCCCCCCTCGAAGGAACGGTACGTACGGTACCGTTCCTACCTTTCGAACCGCCAAGCTTTGCGGCGACGGCTGTCTCGATGGGTTGGCGTCTCAAACTCTCTCCAGTGCCCGCCCCCATTCCCGCTCCTTGGCTGGCCTTGGTTCCCTTTTTTGAAAACGCACCTCTCTCATCTGCTCATCCGGTCTGTCGCCGACTACCGTCTACACTTCACCTTCTGTCGATTTTTCCCACCCTCTCGTTGGGTTTGGTCTTGGTTATTTAGCCTACTTATTAATAGCGTCATACCAGACGTCAAACCCACATCTGGATGCCTACGTAACGCAGAATAAGGCCGCAAATCTCTAGGTAGATGGATGTGGTTTGATTGCTGAGCGTAGCGCAAGGTAAAGCCAGCAGCAACAGTCGACATGTTTGATCTCCAGAAATCTGCTCGCGCCGGCCTCGAGGGGGCCGAAATGGCCATACCCGCCCACCTCAACCTTCAGCGTGACATTGTCTTTCGCCCAGAGACTCCGACCTTGAGCAAAGAAATTATAGGAATATACGCCAATGGCGGAACCCTGGGCGGATATGACAATCTGTAACAAAAACAAAAGAGGAAGAGAGACAAGACAAGGGCAGCAAGCGTTTGATCGCCCAAAATCAAGCCTTCGACAAGCACTTTTTGCTCGTCGCAGCGGTGGATCACCCGTTCCCCCCCGTTCCCCCCTTCCCGTGTTCCATGTAATAAGTTCCAAGTTCCAACAAGCAAACATGCCCGCGCCTCCGTACTACCGTAGGCAGCAAAAAAAAGCTACCTTACCTAGCTACCTTGCTTAGCTACTTACCAGACCGTCTAATTCGTACTTTCCCCCTCTCCCCCACGACCCGGTGCTCCCTAAGGGCCGCCCCTTCCTTCCCATCCTATCCATCTCTCTCCTGTCTTGGCCTCCTCGACTAAGTACCTACCACCAGTGATGAGAACAGAAGTTGAGATGGTTCGCAGCCAAGAGGTGGGGGGGTGTAAGCAGCCCCAGGCTGTAGTAGTAGTGCTGTGGTGGTGCCAAACACTCGGGACCAAAATTGATCATCTATGCAAACAACTTCGTGCCAAGATGGGTGGCTGCCGAGTGCATCGCATGTCAAATCGGCTCGCCGAGCGCCAATCTGCATATGCCATGCGGCTGGGGCTGAACAATCAACCTTGCCAAGACTGGGTCTGCCACTCTTCAATGGGTACTATTACGTATCCACAGAGATGTTTCTTTGGCGCACAATGATCCCCACGATGAACTTGAAAATATATATCATATTGCTTGCTGTATTTTTCGCTCTCAAAATTTCGTTCACACGTTCGTGTCTCTATAGTTACTTTGTAGATGACGCACTCGCAAATGCTCTCAATAACCACACTTATTATACACTATTCAACCATTGTTCTTTCATGCCTCGTGCTCCAACCCGGGCCCCCTCCCATTGTATCGTCATCGCTCATACCTCGGCAGCTGTTCTGAGCCTGCTGCGTGATGTTGGTGACTGGACTGTCCAGTGCCTGCTTCTGTGCTGTAACTGTACTGCTGGCCGTAGTCGTCTTCGTCCGCTAATACCGGCGCCGACGGCTCGGCGACGTCCGCTGGCGGTGCTGACGCCGACGCACTGGGTCCAGCATCGTAGTCGTCTGGGAATTCCGGTGGCGCGCTGGCCTCGACCAGCAGCCGTTGCCGCTCGAGCTCCTGTTTGTCTTCTGTCCGCGCTTCTTGGTGTGTCGAAATGTCATCCAGCGTTGGCGCGGATGGCTCTTCCTCCACCCCATTCGCTCCACGATGTGTTTGCGGTTCGGGCTGAGGTTCGTCCTCGGCGTCGTAGATATTCGGCTCCGGTGCTGATGCCCCTGACGGGCCCGCTTCTGACATCTGGGGCGGTCGGCTCGGTAAAAGTCTCTCTTCTTGACGCCGTGCCCGCTCTTTCTCCGTCATGCTACCCTCGTCCGGAACTTGTGGGGGAGGTACGTAAGCTGGTGCTTGCATCTCCTCTGGAGGGCTCGTGGGGTGTATCGTGATCGTAGGCTGCCGACTGAGAGGAGCTGGCATCTCAGGAGGCTGCGGCCAGTAGCTCTCACCGTCGTCCGCGCGGATATCGTCGGTCGGCCAGGGGCTAGAAACCTCTTCCCTGCTGAGCGATCCTTCTCGCATTTGGTATGTCCGCAACGTATTACTCCGCCCACGCAACCTCGAGCTATCCGTAGAACCTAGAATGACCTCAAAAACGACCGAGATGACTCCCTTTTCGCGTCGTAACCGATCCGTATCTATCACATTTCCTCCCCACGAGTTGAGCGCCGCGTTATTGCCATCGGTGGCCCCTGACCCGGGTGCAAACTGAGCTACCCTAGACTGGCCTCCACCTTGAAGTTGGCTCGCGAGCCTGCCGCCCAAATCAACCAGGACTTCCACTTGGTACTTGAAACTGACCATGTCCCCAGGCACGCCTTTGATGGTCGGAAAAACATCTTCGGGCACCTTGAGCGATGCCGTCACCGTCGTTTCCAGTGTAACCGGATCGATAATGAGTGGAGCAACGGACTGGGATAGGTCCTTCCGGAAGACGCTCAGTGACGAAGTCGAGGTCAGTGATAGGCCTCCCAAACCGGTCCGTGATCGCGGGTAGTAGTCTTCTTTCGCCAGCTTGCGGGTTTCTTCTTTCGACATGATATCGGCGAACATGGAGGCAGGCGGTGCCGTGTCAACCCTGCCTTGCCGGTACATGGTAACAATAACACCATGCATGCTCTTTATCCGTTTGATATGCTGTACCGAGACCTTGACTGATACTGTGTCGCCTGGTAACGCGCCGCCCTTCAACATCTCAATCGTTGCCGTGATCGTCTTCTCGTCGACAGCTTGCATTTTGGAATTTGTCAGCGAGCTGCTGGCCAGCTGAGGCTCAGCTCTTGCTAGACTGATGCCCGTGCTTGAGCTGACGGTACTGTCACCACTGACTTCGCTCTGGATATCCGTATGCGTTGGGCTTCGGGGGTATTCGAGCGGATCGTGAGGGTGATCTTCTGTTGGCGCTGGTGACTCTACCGCACGCTCGGCATCGTGTTGCTCAACATCTGACCCTTGCTCCGTAGTTTCCACTGTGGCCGGATTCTTTTCGTTGCCAGCGGTCCGCTTTCGTCTTGATTTCTTGGAAATGGGTTCGAGATAGATGGTTCGGGGGCGTGGCGGCGCGAGAGACCCAATGTCTATTTGCTCAACCAACTGGATTTTTCGATCGCAGGACGATGTCGGAGATATCGAGGTCGGACGCGTCAGAGTTGCTGTTATCATGTAGGAAATTGTGCCTCGTTCAAACTAAACGCACGCGCGTTAGCAAGTATGCCTCGTCACGTTAGTCGTGGAATCCGGACGTACATCAATGCTACTAGGTAAGCCCTTTTCGGGGAACACTAAATCAAACTTGAATTCGTATTTTCCGGCCTCCAACCTGCCCTCACCACTGAGCACCTGCTCGTCCTGGAAGAGCGATGCATAGCCGTTGCCATGGTACTGTGCCGAGGAGCGTCCGGACAAGGCGGGTTTCGCGACGGGGGGCTCGCTGACGGCCGGGCCCTTGTGCACGCGAACGTAGCCATGCAGGGCAACAGTAAGATGGGTTATGCGGATAGGCTTGACTACGGTCAGGACTACAGCGCCATAGACGTGGTCGCCAGCCGAGTACTGGCGGTGGGGGTCGTCGGGGCGGACGTGGAAATCCGCGAGGTTACGCGAACGCGATCGGCTGGGCAGAGCGAAGCGAGAGAAGAATGAGCGAGCGGACGAGGTTGTTTCTTCGACGGAGCCGTTGGAATGCGAATATGCGCCCATGTATGCAACGACTTGTGGGCCGGGCCTTTGGCGGTGTCGTGAAGTTGTGGGAGTCGTCGGTGGTGGTGGTGGTGATGGTCGTGGCGGGTGGTGACGAGGACGGTGATGTCGGCGACGGTGGAGGAGTTGGCTGAGCGGAGAGGGTGGAAAGGCTCAGGCTCAGGCTCAGGCTTAGGTTCAGGCTCGGGGTGGAGATGGGGAAGGGGGCGCAGCAAAGACAACTTGAGTTGGAGCCTCGACGTCGACATGCAATGAGGGGATTCGCACAGCGACGCCTTGGTGGCTTACAGCTTTTGGCGGGGGGTTTAGTCGAGACTCGACGGTATTGTTGGACGTCCCGGTGGGTTTGTCTTGGCTCGAGGACGGGAAAACGGTAGGTCGGGCGGGCGGGTTCAGGACCGACTCCACGAGGTCTCGGTGTGTCGGGACGGTCAAGGGACCTGTGCTCTGGTCGTCTGGAGCACCTCAGTGTACGGAGTAAGGCAGGCAGTATGGGCCTTGGGGGTGGTTTAGGCGGGCGTGGGCGTGGCGGGCTGGCGGGCTGGTTGGGAGGGGGAATTGATTTGATGATGGAATAGCTAGGAGACAGGCTGGGATCTGAGAGATGCTGGCAGCGGATGTTCTTGGTTGCATATGCCAAGAGCGAAGAGGGAGCCTTGCCAAGAAAGCTTCGCTTTTTCTGGAAATCTCGAGGGTTCACAGTCTCAGATTGCCCGTGGGTGCCGGGGGTTCAGGAGAACAACAACCTGAGGCAGGAGAAACTTGGGGCGACGGGGTCGGGGCCACGTAGTGTGTATTACTGTACAGATGGTGCGCCGGATGTAGATTGCGCGGACGCGGAGTTTGATTTCCCAAACAGCCAGACGCTGGATGGACAGTAGTACTGTGGTACTGCGGTAGGCTGCGACGAGCAATCGGGAGAGACGCCGGCCAAACTAGTCGACGGAGGGGAGGGGAAGAATAAGTGGACGGACGGACTTTTGGTGTTGGAGGCAGCCTGTCCTGTTAACTATTGTATGGTCAATGGGAGAGAGAGAGTATCCGTAGGTATCAGATTCGTACTAAACTATTGGAACGGAGTACGAAGTATCGGAAGTAGGTACTTTGTCTGGAAAAGAGAGAAAGAGACAGGATCCATCGGCCGACATTAACACCCGAACAAGTGACACCCCGATCCTATAAAGCGGAAGGGCGGCAAGGAAAGCACGGAGTGGGGGGGGGGGGGAGCCTGGGAGGACCACTTGTTTTGGGCAGCAGCAGGAAAAGAACTGGCTGGATTGGACTGTGGGCTGTCTTGATCTCCATTCGGTGAATGAACAGGCCATGGAAGCAGCCTCAACTTCTCAAGCAGGGTTTGGAGGGCATGGAAACGGATGGAGACGAGAGAGAGTCAGGACGCTGCGGGCTGCGGCATCTCACGGTACGGCGGTACGGAGGTACGGGAGTACATCCCGCGGCGCTCCTGCCTTGTCCGCTCAGTGCCCTGTCCAGAAAGTCCCTTCGTTCCTAAGTCCCCTCTTCCCTTCCTGGTTGCAGCTCAGCTCAGCTCAGATTGGAAAGTGCCCTTTTCACTCCTTACCTTCCACACTTTCCATGTCCAAGGTACGGAGTAACTTACAAAATACTAATTATGACCTTGAACGCGCTTGGTGTTGGTGGCTGCCCAGTACCTTACCGTGCAACGTGTTGTCGCTCGCCTCACCACTGGGAAGCTACTGCCTGACTAAGGATTCAGAAATCGAGACTCCCCGTCGGAAACACGCACTTGCCAACGCGGCCCCAAAAGTCGAGGCACGGGAATGTGGGGAGTTCTGGGACACCAGAGTTACAACAACACGCGGCTTAGCCGAACATCTCATGTTCAACCAACTATCTGCCCGTGCCTGGTTCCGAGACGACAATGATTGAGACGGGGGAGAAGTGGGATAGGTAATCATGAAAGAAAAAAAAGACAGAAAGAGAGGAAGAGCAGGAGAGACAACCACCGAGACATGCCACTCTAGTTGGTGCCATCCGAGACGCCTTTCCCCTCCGTCTCCGTCCCCGTCCCTGTCCCGAGTCTTCCACTTGCTATTCGACAATTCGAAATCTATCGAGATGCCCCGTGCCCTTGTTGTTGTTACTCCTCCTTCTGCTCCTGGCTCCTGCTATGTCTGGGCTGGCGCCTTATCCGAACCCTGTCTCCTGTACGGATACCTGAGGTGATCCAATCTTGTTGGCCCTTCTGCAGCATCGCTTGCCCATTTCTGCGAATCGGCGACCACACTGTCCACCCACAACACACACCTCCCGCAGATCCAACCTGTAGGGTGCCCGAAGGGTGGTATCCGTCACTGCCTTCTGGATGCCGACAGCCGACGGGAGACCCTGTCCTTCGAACACAGGAGGATTGATAACCAATGTCTGCCTGCCTCTGTCTGCTTTACTACACAAGACCCTGAGCAATCAGTCAACCAATGACTTAACTCCATTCGGCCAGAGGTTCTGCAGTTTTGAATAGACAAACACACAGATGGTATACGTGAAGCATTTCCACTCAGGATTCAGGAACAAGAAGTGTAAAAATAGCGGAGCCGGAAGGTAAGACGTACGGATAACATTCCATACCTTTGATACCCCGTTTACCCAATCCCGCCCCCTGTTTTTGCCAACAATTGCTGTATACGGATACGTCTTCGAGACATAAACCATGTCTCTCTTCCCATTTCCTCGGATCTAAAGCATAGTCCCAAAGAGGTGAGGGAGAGGAAACAACACAGAAACCCGCTAGCTTACCTCAGTCTGAGAAGTGAAAGATCACAAATTCTGATTCGGCCGGCCCCATCCTCTGTGCTTCTCTACCTTCCCCCCGGGACCTAGGCACCCTCGTCAATATTGACATCGGGAAATAGACGCAGGCCAAGACCAATGGCCCAAGATAAGCCTTAAAGTATTGCTGCGTTGAGTGGGATGAGATCCTCCTCCGCTATATTAGACTCGTAGACCCAGGCAGAATTCGCCTTCTTGGCGGTTACACCGTTTCTTTGAAGGCTGCGGATCTCCGCCCGATCTGGGACTGCGACGTGGAACCTTTCTTGGCTGGCGGGAAAGAAACAGTTCAGGGTTGACTTGTCAGCAACATATAGGCACGATAGGCAGATCAAAACCAGTGGACCGCTGGGCGCTTGGAGCACGGCCGTCCGTCTGACCCTTCGGCCGCGGCTCCTCATCCTCGTTTCGCCTCATCGTCACTCACTTCACATTTGGGCGTGCGCCGGACATAGGTGACTCGGGTGATATTGGCCTGCCTCGACAAGCCTTGTTTCGTTTTAACCGTCTGGTATCATGCTATTAATGTCTCGTCTCTTTATTTATTTCGCACACCATCGATGCTCTCTTTTCGAGCATATACCATGTTGATGCCCTGGGCTCAGCCTCATGATCCTCAGTGCCTAATTTCCCCAAACTTTCAAGTGACGTCTCGATCAATATCCAGACAACCTATTCTTTTGGCATCCGTTGCCCTGCGAATCGTGTCCATCGATCCGCAACAAACTCCCCAAAAACGCCACGTGCCATGCCTTTCCGGACTCCGATGCCATGCAAAATGCCCAATGCCCAATGATCCCAAGTACTTCTACACTTTTATGCTATGCTGTAATGATCAATCCAATGCTTCGCCGCTGAGAATGCTCGACAAAATGCCCGCTCCGACACCCTCGGCAATGTTCTCCATCTCCTTCTCGCCAACGCAGCTGGCCACTCGCTTGTCCTCTCCGGTGGGAAGCACCGCCTTGCGGCCTCTCTTACTGGGTGTCTGTGTCATCACAAGTCCACCTGTCTTTCCATCAACAGGGTTGACCAAACCCAGTGTCTCCAAACTTCCGATGACCTCTCGAAACTCTGAGCTTGACAGCGGGTGCAAAACTGAGTCTCTAGTGCAAAGGATAGCGTACGTCTCGTACAAAGTTTTGACTGTGGGTGCCATCGTTTGTGACTTGGTGGGGGTAGAAGGGCCAGTGGTCATCCTCAGCGCTCGGTTGCGCTTCTCGAGGGCCACCAATGAGCAGAGCGCTGCCTTCTGTTGAAGGTTGAGTGCCTTTAGCCTCTGATTGGTTCCGTTGCTGAAGGCTGCCTGCGTAACTTGGTTCAAATGCTTGAGGAGCACTCGGGGTGCACTCTCGGCTGTCAGCGCCTTAAGGGATGTTGCGGCGACGTGTGAGACGCTCCTCGAGGACCCGCTGGAGCCGGCCATATTCGCATTTTCGCCGAGAGGCTTCCGGGACGGTGTCATCTGCAGAACCTTTTCTCTTGCTTCGTTCTCGTGTTGCCGTCTGGTCTCTGACTCGACCACGTCCAGCGCTCTTCGGCAGATTTCGAAAGCCTTGCGCAAATCCCCGGTCTGACTCGAAACCTTGCGCGAGCAGAGCTCAATCGCCGCAGGATGGAAAAAGGGAAGCGTCTTGTTGCTGCTGTCGGTCGGCAATAACGTCATCAGGCGAGTGCTGATGATACTTTTGATTTGCGCGGCTGAGTATGGGTGGAAGGGAAGAAGATCCGGCTTGAGGTTTTTGGATTTCAGACGTGGCAGAAATCGGTCGGTGAGGTCGAGGGCGTTCGCAATTCCAATAAGCACCAGTCGTGAAGGCTGCTGCAGAGACCATTCAAACAAACGATACAGACTTTCCAAGCCCATCGTTAGGATGTGGTCGATTTCATCCAAAACAAGCAAGTAGACAGGTGAGCCCTTCTTCTTCGTCACAAAAATCTTTTGCAATTCCTCCATTGCCAATGTTTCCGGCAGATCGCTTTCATGTCCAAGAAGCTCTAACAAGGTATTGTAGAGGTCCTTTGACGACTTGACACTCATGCAGTTGACGTATGCTTGACGCACAGCGGTCGCTTCTGTGGACTTTTCCGTAATCTCCTTAACCATGGCGCTTTTCCCGGTTCCAGGGGGGCCGCTGACATAGAGGCATCCATTGGGAGTTGTGGAGGAGCAGCGTTGAACAAATTGCGTC